TTTTTATAAATAGGTCTGATCGTACCAACCAGCCATGATGTCGGCAATTTTCCACGTTTAAGAATTAAGTTAAACAGGTCATGATAAACATTAATCATTACGTCTTTACTCGATATCAGGTACTCGTGTTCTATCTTATCAAATCCAACACTTTTCTCTTTTTAAGTGAATTGATTGCCAGTAATATTTCTGCAACATTGATTTGCCTGTTAAGTTCTTCATTATCAGATTGATGGTCTCTAATTGGTGTACATTCATTTTCATCAACATCATTTGCATTAAGTTCTTTAAAAAAGCTTGAAGTTGGTCAATTGATATATTTTTTCAGACTCTTGATTTTTTTAAAAGTGTTTCCAAAATTGTCTTCGGTATTCTTTCGCCATTTAATTATTTTTTTTTAAGTCTTTCTCATGTGATTGTTATAATCATTTGTCAGTTTCTTATATTGTTTGTTAACACCTCTCAGTACAATTTTATCACTTTCAAGTTTAGTAAGTCTATAGTGAGTGAGTGAGTGAGTGAGTTGGGTTTAACGCCGCTTTTAACAGTATTCCAGTTATATCACGGCATGTCAGCTTAATGTGGGTGGAAAGCCCGAAGTGTTGCAGGTCTCAGACGTTTACCACTTCGGTGAAACCCACGAGCACGGGTATGGTGCTGACAAACCTAGAAACATAATCGGGGCGAACCGGGATTCGAACCCACAATCATAGGTTTCTGGCGTGTCCAAGGGACGCAACTCTGCACAGCGAATCGCGGCGCCTTAGACGACTGGGCCACCCGTGCCCCCTAGTAAGTCTATAAGTACGTCTAGCATTCTTGAACAACCTTTTCTTTGGAGAATTCGGTTTCTTTTTTTAGTTTAACCAGTAAAAAATTCCAAGATAAACTAAAAAAAGAAACCAAATTCTCCAAAGAAAACAGACAAGACAACCTAGAAATAAACCAGCCTTACACCATAGAAGAACTAAATCACGTACTAAACAATAGAAAAAAAGGAACAGCGCCTGGCCTAGACCTCACCTCTTACCAAATAATCAAACACTTACCTACCAAACTACTCCAAACTTTACTTAAACTATACAACCTAGTCTACCTAAACGGACAGGTCCCATCCTCATGGAAGGAAGCTCTAGTAATCCCAATACCTAAACCAAATAAACCAGCAGAACAGGCTAACTCCTATAGGCCCATCTCCCTAACCTCAAATCTCTGCAAAACAATGAAACTTATGACCAAAAATAGGCTACAGCACTACCTAGACCAAAACAACATCATAAACCCCGACCAAAGCGGCTTCACTCCTGGCCGATCAACTCTCGATAAACTCGCCCGACTAGAACAGGATATAAAAACAGGACAGCTAAACAAGCAATACACCATAGGCATATTCCTCGACTTCTCTAAAGCTTTCGATATGGTATGGCACCACGGGCTAATACAAAAACTTAAAAAAATAGGACTAAAAGGCCAAATAATAAACTTCATCCAAGGTTTCCTAAACAATCGCAAAATAACCGTGGGTATAGACCATACGCTATCGGACCAGTGTCCCCTAGAAAATGGCACTCCCCAGGGCAGCATCCTCAGCCCAACCCTCTTCAATATAATGATAAACGATCTATTCGAGGGCTTATCCCCTAAACTAAACACTTCAAAATTCGCGGATGACGGAGCCCTATGGATCCGCACTAAAAGCATTAAAATGGCAGAAAACTTAATCCAAAAATCTCTAAATAAAATACAACAATGGGCAGACAAATGGGGCTTCTCCCTTAACTCAGATAAAACAACAGGAGTAGTATTCAAACATAAAAACATGAAACCTGCCTTCCCAATCCTCCAGCTAAACAACCAACCAATCAAATTCCAAAAACAAACCAAATTCTTAGGACTCATTTTCGATCAACACCTCACCTGGGAGGCTCACGTCCAAAACCTAAAAACTAGATGCAGCAAAGACCTTAACACACTAAGATGTCTCACCGGCTCTAACTGGGGAGCCTGAAAAGATACCCTCCTCTCACTCTATACAGCACTAATTAGATCAAAACTAGACTACGGCTGCGCCATATACAATACCCTAAACAACTCTCTATCTGAAAAACTTGAATCAATACAATACCAAGCCCTTAAACTAATTACACGCACCCAACATGGCACCTCCTACACCTCACTTCAGGCACTTACAGGGGAAATGCCACTAAATCTGAGCAGGGAACATCAAAGCCTTAATTTCTGGGCCGCGTCCCAGTCAAACCCTCTCATCCAAAACTTATTTAACCAAAACATTAGCCCAAGAAACCAAGCTCTAGCTCGCAAACACCCCTTACTCACCCCAATATCCCAAAGAATAACTAACTACCTCAAGGAACACCAAACTCAAAATCTTAAACAAAACTGCAAAAAATCAAATATCTTCACCCCTAAACTCAAAATACCCAAAATAAACACAACGCTAGCAAACCAAATAAATAAACAAACCGACCCAAACATAGCTAAAACCACCACACTCGCATACATACACGAAAATTGGCCAAATTGGTGTCACATATACACTGACGGATCTTCAGACCCGATCTCCAACCACACAGGCTTCGGAGTCCATACCACACAACCAGTTATATCCACACAATCTTACCGACTCCCTAACAACCAATCTATATTCACGGCCGAACTTATGGGCATGGCCTCAGCCCTGCATAACCAACAATCTAAAAACAACAATAAAATCCTAATTCTCACCGACTCCCTTAGTGGACTACAAGCCCTCCAAAACAAAAATACCAAAAAACGACTTAAATTAATAAACCAAATACTTAAAAGCTCCAACGACCTAACAAAAGCAGGCAAACAAATAACATTCTTGTGGATCCCCGCCCACGTAGGAATTTACGGCAACGAAAGCGCCGATAAAGCAGCTAAATTATCTCTCAAAATACCAGAAGTAAGCCTAAACCTACCCATCTCAAAATCAGAAATTAAAAGTGTAAACAAACAAAAAATAACCAAAAAATGGCATAATCAATATCAAAACTCAAATAGCCAAATCAAAAAAGTGCTCAGAAAACCACCAGCCAAACCTAAAATCCTACACCCCTCCAAAAAATTTGACAGATTAATTACAAAACTCCAAACAGGACACACTAACCTAAATAACCACCTAAAAAATCTTAAAAGGCACACCACAGGCAACTGCCCCAACTGCAAACAACCCGAAACCACAGAACACGCACTCATCCACTGCACCCACTACCAAACACACAGAACCACACTACAAACCACCCTCAATCTAAATAAGGTTCCTACTCTAGATGAAATACTAAACCCTCAAAATAAACTAGAAAACTTCAAGGCCCTAGGCGTATTCCTAATCAAAACAGACCTAATTAAGCGCATCTAAAAACTAATTAATCTACCAATCCAAAATCCAATAAACATACAAACACCCACCTCACCCGGCTCCCTTAGTTCCCTCCTCCACCCACCTCGGCATTTATTCCAAATTTAAAAATTCCAAAAATTCAATATAATTAAGCAAACCCTAAAAGCCCCCTCTTGGGTTGCACACACCACTTTCACCCTTTTCGGAATACACTAAATGGTCTGGCCAGGCCCGTGTGCGAAATACGCTACAGTCGGAAAGCGCACGTTAAATCTTCTATATCAGTCAGTCAGTTGAACAACCTTGTTCACACAGACTTCCGCGTCAGCCTCGCCTGCACGTGCCGCGCTTTCCAGTGACGTCACTGGCGTTGAATCGACCTTTGACACGAATTCTTGTTCGAGAAGTGGGTGAAATCGTCGGGGAAACTTTACAGTTATTGCCATGTCGGTTGTTAATTTTATGTAAGGCACAGTCATTACAAAGTGTTTAGTCCAACACGAGCTGAAGTGAGCAATGAACATCACTATAGCAATCAGAAAAATCAGCTGTGTGAAAGTACTTAATAGTAGGGGCTACTTCACAAGAAACAATAAAAAATCAACCACACTTGGGTCCTTACATATGAAATCTCCAATGTGTTTGGCTGAAAATGATTTACCATTACCATTAATAGACATCCTTTCGTGAGAAAAGCCACAATGAGTCAAGACATTTGTAATAATATTTGTTTCATCAAGCGCAGCATCACCGAGGCCGATGTTATTAGCAAAGGTTCTGTCAATTTCACAAATATTATTTAGTGAACCAGTTCCTAAGTTAAAGTCTCCAGACAGGATGATATTATTACTCAGAGTTCTAAAATGTAATACATCAGAAATCAAATTATAAAAATTATCATCTTTAGCAAATGTCGATGATGAGGGGGGGAATATACGGTGGCTAAATAAATATCAGCATTTAAGTTGAACAGGTGTTTGTCAAGGCGGATCCACATCGCAACATCACAGCTTCGGGGGGGGGGGGGGTATATGGAGTTTGAGTGTTTATATAGGTTTAGAAATTTAGGGTTTATCAGCAGCTTGTTTGTTGTTCCTTATTTTTGAAATGCAGCCAAGTAGGCCTGTTTTGATTAGATATATGCCTCGTGCTTTAAAGGTTTGTAAGTCATTCAGGGGGTTTAGTACCGTTGCTAGTGTCATTTGATTGTTGCAATTTAGTGTGGATTGGAGTGTTGCCACTATTGGAAGATTTTCTCCTTTGTGATGCTTTTAATTTCGTTTTTTTTTTATTGGTAGGTTGAATTAAACACGTTTGTTCCTCCTTTTTTGTAGTGTAGTTTAAAATCAGATATTATCAAATATGGTGACCATCTGCATTGTCGTGTTGTTTTAACGATTAGACTAGTATTCTGAGATAAAAGTACACCCAAGCCTATTAATCCATGCCCTGCTCTTGCCCCAACAAATGTCTACACTGTCAGTGGTCACTTACACCGGTCTTTGTTCCAGCCTAATTGGAGATGTTCATCAATTAACATTCTCATCTCTCCAGCTTATTAGATTGGTTAGAACTAGATAGGTCAGTGTGGTCACCGGATGTTAACTGACGTAAATAGTGGGGTCAAACCAGCTGACCACACATTCCTCATCAGTGTTCTGAACAGACGTTTTAACAGTAAGAATGACCGATTCAACAACTGTGTCCAGCCTCTTGGCAGAATATGACGACAACCACGCGTGTCTGACAGCGATGGCCGAGAGCTCCCTAGCCAACAGTCACATTCCTCTGCTTGGCCACCTCTGTGGAGATCTCCCTGAGAAAGTTGTCTGGAAGATGATGGTGAGTATTGTACTGAAATGAAAATAAATAGGATACACGCATGAATTTTTTTATTGAGTAAAAATCAAATATCAGTATCTGACGCTCTTAACGAAGCATTTGAACTTTAAATGATTTAAATTAAACACGGTCTTTTGTACCACGCTATAATGATATATGTACAACACACTGAAAACATAATTGGTCAATTCTTAACTTTCAGTATATGAGCTACCACCAGCTGAGAGTTCAAGACAGGTGCACGATGCTAAGTGTCGTCACTGACTACATAGTTCACAGTCCCGTCTTCCTTGAGACTGCTGTTAGCGCCAAGTCGGGAACCAGTTCCTCAGACATCATCCGGGTTTTGGCCCAGTGTTGGCAAAAAACCCTACTTTCCGCAAAGAGAGGTAATTATCGTTTTACAGTCACGTGCTTCATCACAATTTGAAGGTACATGTACGTTCATCATTTCGTCAAGTTGGAATGGGATATTAGAGGATTGATTATATGTTTATTTCTTCATAGGTTTAGATGTTCAGTCTTTCAACAACCTCACGATGACACTGACCAGATGTGTGTCACAACTGAGGGTCTACCACCGCCACCGTTCCTTCAAAGAGGTACTCAAGCAAGCCATCCGACTGAAAGAGCTGGCATGTGCTGACCTTGTCTCGACGTATTTTCCATCCACAGTCGACGCCAACTTTCCACGGATTGCTGAAATCTCCTACAACAAAATGAGAAGGTTCCGCTCTTGTGCAAATCTTGCTACCGAGACTCTTGCCTCGACCATGCGAACATCTGCCTATCCTTCTACACCAACACATCAAAAGCTGTCCACACAGACAGAGCAGAAAGCTCACCCATCTTTGACAATTCGACAGACGCTCTCTACACCGGTTCGCCCGCTCCATTCCGTACCGGATCAGTCCCGATCTACAACGGCTAGAAAGGAGCCATCTACACTGGCTGGCATGCCCCCGTCTCTACCAGCTCGACAGAACACGTTTACACCAGCGCATATTCTGCATCCTACAGTAACTCAGAATCCGTCTACTTCGAACCGCATGAACTCCTCTACCCTGGCTCTACAGAATTCATCTACACCAGTTCAAAAGAGACTTTCTCCACAAGCTCGACAGATCCCGATTACATCATCTCGTACGTTCACGTCAACCTTGGCTCGACACAACTCGTCTGCAATGTCCTCGTCTGTACCAGCTCGACAGAGCCCATCTACACCACCTCGCACGAACATTTCAACCCTGGCTAGACAGACCCCGTCTGCACCAGTTCATATGTCCCCGTCTGTTCGAGCTCCACAGAACCTATCGACACTAGCTCGACATATCCCATCTACACCTCCTCGTATGTACGCTTCATCCCTGGCTCGACAGAACCTGTATGCACAAGCTTATACGTCCCCGTCTGCACCGCATCGACAGAACCCGTCTACACCAGTTCGACAGAGTCCATCGTTACTTCATGCAACCAGCGGGTTGACCCTCTATGGACGTCACACACCTACTCACGATCATCACACTCCGTCTACGAAAACTCCACTGGCTCCTTATACACCGTCTCAACCAAATTGGTCAAGAAACATTGGTACATCACCACGGGCTACTAACAGACTCACCGATAGCCAACGTCTGTTGATACATGCTGAATTGAAAAGACTTCATCTCGTTACATCAAGTCCTTCTATGCCACTGCACACATCAAGGAAGTCTATGGGTTCCAGCAAGAGATCAAACAGCCCGGAAGCAGCCTCAGATTCTTCTGCCCTTCGCCCTACAGGGAAACAACTTGTAGAAGCGAGGCAACTTGTCCACAGACGGACCGCAGCCAGCAGTCTCCACCCAGCAGACAGAGCTGTGACCAAGGAACTGTTTTTCAACTAGAAGCTGTTACCTTTTAGTCCGACTGATTTCTTGCTCACTGATTTCACAGTATGTTATTCTTGAAACCACAATAAACTGTTGGACGCATACATTGTTTTATTTTTTGATATGTGTAGCGGCGTATCTATGAGCTTGGGGTAGCTCAACAATTAATCACAAACGGCTAATGTGTGTGAGGCTATTCGACGTTTATTCGTTTATGTCGAAGCGCACATAAAATATATGTGAATTATTTAGTCTTCATTTCACACAACCTGAAAGTGAATCGAAGTATGTAGCAAGTTATGATCACAGCCCTGGACCAACTAGGAATAATCCATTTAATGCCCATTGACGTACCTGGAACGTATACAGCAGTTGTTTATTTGCTGATATTTCATCAAGCTCTCTAATCTGAGATATCAACTTTGACATTCTTGTCGTAAAAGCCGTCAAATGGGCATTGTTTGTCTCAGTGCCCCGACGAAGTAGACCGTTGTTCATGCCATAAACATTGGTTTGCTTGGAAATATTTGGTTATTTACAGAGTGGCGATAATAAAAGCGACAAAACCCTTTCCATATTCGTCAGAAATCTCTGTAAATGCGGAGTTGAGTTGTATGAATCCGACAATGCCATGAGCATGTGTTTATGAATCACTATCAAATAGTGACCATACCAGGTGTTCGCGATAAGGTGAGCGTAGCCTGCCCCAACGGTGGCACCCATCACACACACAAGTAAAGTCAAGTCAATTGTTCACCTGAAAAACGTGGAAACATGTGGTACATGTCAAAGTAGGGAAGTGCAACGGACATCATTTTTGTCAGTTCGTCAAATTTGGAAATATTCTCCACATTCATCTGACGAAGGTGAGGTAGCTCTGAAACGTCGTGACAAAGAATAAAAGAAATTGTCATGTATTGTGACAACTTTTAAATGCCTAAGGAATAAAGCGTAATGTAAAACAACATCCCCGATTTACTTCACTCATCCACAGCCGTGAGGATGCTCAATGTTAACTCATTTGGTGTCATTTGCGGGGTGTACGTGATTTTACGAGCTGACTCTCTACACCACCACTCGCCGCGATATAACTGGAATACTGTTAAAAGCGGCGTTAAACCCAACTCACTTACTCACTTACTCACTCTACACCACAAGACCACAAGACCACAAGACCCTGACACATGCAACAGGTTGGGAAAAGGATAAACAAGAATATGGAGACAGAAAACTTCAGAAGTAACCCGACAGCATGTGATGTGTTTAACAGTTATGATCAAGTTTCGATTGTTTGTTGTGTCACGCCGCACGCAGCAATATTCCAGCTATACGATGAGTCTGCACCAGACAATCCAGTGGTTGACATCATGAGCGTCAATCTACGCAATTGGGATACGATGACATGCATCAACCAACTCAGCGAGCCTGACCATCCGATCCCGTTAGTCGCCTCTTACGACAAGCATGGGTTGCTGAGGACCTATTCTACCCCGGATCTTCACGAGTCGATGACCTTAAGTGAGTCACCAACCGATACACGCAGCCAATTATTGGGTGTGTTTTAGTAGAAAATGTTAGAAATTTACAATATAGACTTAGGAACTAACGGTATCCCGATAACCGATTGTCTTCAACGGTAAACAAGGAAAAACGGATTATCAAAACTACCACGCGAGTTCCGAGAATATTTCTCCAGGCCTACAATCCGACTAGTATGGTTTTACAAGATGACGACTGCTCAGTGAGATGTTTAGATTCTTTAAGATAAATGTATATTCACTCTAATATTTACCGCTAGCTTAGATGAGGCAATCGATGGTTCACATTTGAAACATCATCCCCCAAGCTGTTTTCAATTATCTGGTGTCTAAAATGCACCGTCGCTGCTTCAACATTGACATTGTAAATCAAAATTATTGAGACGAATGACAAACTATTATGTTGGTATTTTAAATAACATCTTCACTTATTTTCAGTCATTCACTCATATAATTTTCCACCGCTACTTTGCCTCTTGCGGCCAATGTCATGTAATCGCGACTGGTTATTCTCTGGCGTTGACGTTTTATATTTTTTAATACTTAAAAACATTGATATGTATTTTTACCCACTCCCAACAAGACCACATTTAGCCAACTGAAACCGTAATCAATCAATATTTATTATATGTATACTAGGCAATAATTATTACAATGCTATGTTTCTTCAAGGTGGTGGTTTTGTAACCTGGACCTGTTTCCTATATTACGTTCTGAATGAAAACATTCGAAATACAGAAAGCGAAATCGCTAATCTAACGACGTTTTGTTACTGTTCCATGACATTAGTTATTTGACTGCCCTTTCAACTGCACTCTTCAAATCGTTGTGCAGAGTTGCGTCCCTTACGCGTGCCCGAAACTTATGATCGTGGGTTCGAATCTCAGATCTGCCTAGATTATTCTTCAATGTTTGTTAGCACCATATACACTCTTCAAAAAAGGAAACGCACAGGCAGTATGTAGTTCATTGAACTTGACTTCACAAAAATCCGGTATATAAATTGGATATATGTTATTGGAAATTGTTGGTGGCCTGATATTCGACAAACGGTGCGTCAAAACGAAGCCCTTGTCGATTTGAATGTCTTAAACGGCATTGTTTTCACACTTGTTAAAAAATGTCCTAGAGGAAAACAGCAACGCAAAATGCATTTATGCCATTTGTACGTAATTCTTGGTAGTGGCTATAAAAAGGCAAGCATAAGCCAGTAAGTTGTCATTCAATTGTCAGCATTTTTCAAGTTCGAAAATGCCGAGACTCAGCGCTGCCGATCGGAACATCGCCATAGGACGTATCCAAAGAGGGGGATCGCAGTCTTCTGTTGCACGCCACTAGCAACCTTCTGGCCTTATGTGACATGACAATGAACAATTTTTAATGCTTTTGAACAATGACATGTGACGAGCACCACAATTTCAAATTTGTATCTATGATATTTAATCAATTCATCGACTTCATAAGGTACAATTAATTTTTAAAATCTGCCTGTACGTTTCATTTTTGAAGAGTGTACTTTGCACAAGGATTGGCAAATGTGTCCTGAGACCCGCGCCACTCCAGACTTTCCTCCCACACCAAGCTGACACGCCGTGATATAACTGAATACTTTTCAAAGCGGAGTTACACAGGACCAGGAAGACTATACAAATGTAGACGCCCTGACAAAACTCACTGACTCGCTCGATGCATTCGACGGATCAGATAAGCAGCTTACAAATATTACACTTGTGATACAAATATAGACGCCCTGGCCAAACGCACACACTCGCTCAATGCATACAATGCATCAGATACATCAGACAATACGCAGCTAACAAATATTACACTTGTGACAGAAGCCTTTATAACATTATATCCTTTAATCTGAAACGTGAACTCGTTTTGTAAACACTCGAGCTAGTTGACTCTATGACTGTATCATAACACATGCGTCCGGATCACTTACAAACAGGACTCGTAAAGATCCGGATCAGACTTCAACAACCCATGCTTGTCGTAAGAGGCGACTAACGGGATCGGGAGGTCTGGCTCGCTGAATTTGAAGATGCATATCATCGTATCCCAATTGCCTGGATCGATGCTCATCATGTCAATCACTGTATTGTGTGGCCCAGACTCGATTATTTACAGACCGCCGTCACATATATCTAGAATGTTGGTGAGTGTGGCGTCAAACAACAAACAAACAAAAGTTACAAACAATGGAGTCCTTTAGCATCACAATTAAACATATGATTTGTTCTGGTGGGATTGTATACACTTGTCTGGTGTCACAATGCTCGCTTGGAATGGCAATCCGTGATATTTGATTCAAGTCGGGTTTTTTTGTCGAACATGCAGATGATTATCAACTTTGTATGGTGACCTTGCAGGGGTCATATACCTTTCTTCCTCATAGCGGAACAATGTGAGTGGTGAAGGCGACACCCTATATCAACTTCCGCATTTAAACAGCAGAACCAGTGTGTTCAGTATATGAGAGTAAACAATGTAAGGAAAAGCATCATGTGTTTTTCCCTTGTTAAACCAGTAAACCTTACTTTTGTCAAGTCATTGTCACAGCTTTAATGGGGCGCTAGGCTCCGTCAAATTGGCAGTCCTAGTAAGTTTCAGACAAGTAGTTTGTTTGTCTGCTTAAGATTCTGTCTATTTCAAGATTCATTGCAATCTAACAATTAAAAAGAGAGAATATGTCACTTTCACATATGACACTAATTATAACGTCTGAATTTCAATGTAAATGCACAGTCCTTATGTAAGACTCATTCTTTATATCTTAGCAGCGTGGATGTCATGGCACAGTGTATCCAAATATGAACTTACAAAGTATAAAAGCTATTTACATGATAAAGAACATATGCTTATGTATTCTCTTATAATACGCGAATGAATACGCCTAAGGCGTTGATGATTAAATTGTTGACTGGATCTACTACAACTGCCTGTTTAATATTAATTCATGACGCGCAGTTAAATTGACAATACACGAATGCTTGCGACATTAACATCCTGTTTGAAGCAGTAAAACGTGCAGCAGGTCGAGTGGCGAGCACACAAGTGACATGGACATTCACACAGCAGGCCTCTTTCTATTGTGCATCTACGTCGTCACGGGGGAAAGATGTGAGTAGTTTTTCCTACAAATTGCGAGATAATGGAAAACATACAAAGGTAATAATGATACAACTTGAGACACTGTAGTTAGCGTTATGAACTTCACCAAAGACCTATTTATATTCGTATATGATATAGTGCTGCACACGTGACAGATGACAACATACATGTGGGTAGGTTATACATAAGGTTGTTAAATTGTGGTGACATTTATGTATAATTTCACTAGCACCTTATCTGCGCTCAGGGATGCCCCCTCCCCCCTCGCAGGGACCGATCATTTCATATTCGAAGGGGTGCGGGCTGTGATTTTTTTTACGGAGACTAAATTATTATTTCAGCGACAGTTGCAAAACCAGATATTTTTAAAAATTAAAACAGTATTATTTTTCAAGTCTGAATCATGATTATTTTTTTCAAGCATTTTCTGGGACAATTTTATTTTCGACAAAAATGTACAACTTGCTTTCGTCATTTTGTGACTGAAATATTGTCGATGTGACGTGTAAGTCACAAGCAAACATAACACATGTTGGCTTCAATTGAAGTAATGATGTGTCCGTTTGACAAGCGGCTGTATATTAACAGCTACTCGCCTTACTTACAGCATTGTCTTTTGGTCATTTAAAATAGCGCGGTATGTATGGCGGTACTCAACACTTGCAGATTTAACCTGTATTTACGTCTGGTTAGACGAATATCAATTCACATTTGCTGTCTAGCAACTTTGATGTCCCCTACAGGCGCAATGGTTACGTTTCTCACTGCTTTGTTACTGTGAACTGACCAATCGATGAGGCCGTATAATCATCACACTACGAATGTTCATGTGCTATGTTTCAGCTTTCTGGGTCAATACAAATGAAAGCACCGCCCATGAGTTATATAAAACTGAGACCCCCCTTTCCTGGTGGGACGCAGCAAATCACGGGTGTGCCAAATCCGATGGACATCTTTTTGTTCCCCAGAGCGAGAGTCTTGGAGATCGTGTGAAAAACTTAATAGATGAGAACAAGGAGTATTGGGTTGGTGGATTCCAATACTCGTACTTGAAATGGACGGGTGAGGTAGTTTAAACCTGGTTCATCTCAAATGTATCTTCATGCTTTCCAATCATGTTTGTATAAGAAGCAAACACACGTCTGCAGATATATATACAGCATTTCTGTCATGTTTTGTTTGGTTTAAAATTCCCTGTCACAACCCTTTCATAATGTTTACAGATTATACAATAATATATGTATGTGCACTTACATCATTGCTGCTTCTTCCTATCTATGTTCTTCAAAACGGAAGTTTGAACACATATGACAATAGTTTCATGTACATCATTTCAGGGGACAACACAAGGTACCACACGAGAGTCGGTTACTTGTCCGCTGTTTTTGTGACCCTTGTCACACCTGTCACATTACGGCACAATTCTGCATCAAGTTGCGGTTCAAAGTGTGGAACCAATCATCGACTATATGGACTTAAGGTAAATATATGCGATCCAACCCTTTCCATAATCATAAGAAATGTCTACTAAAAGCAGAGTTCATTGTACTACTGTATTCCGATTATATCATGAGCGTGCGTTAATAAATCACAATCAAGTTATGGTGATACCAGGTCCCACCGGTGGCACCCGTCACAAACACACGTACAGGAATGATAAGACTGGGATTTCTAATACAACAGAGAAAAGTATATAGATCCAGGATGATAACATTCATCTCGTCTCAATAATACCTTCATGTCGACCATACCATTATATTCGGGCGGTGGTCTTGTGGTTGAAGCGTTTAATCCTTAAGCCGAGATTCCCCACATGAGCACAGTGTGCCCACTTCTGGGGTCCGCCGACGTGATATTGCTGGAAAATATTCTAAACGCAAAGTAAAACCTAAGTCACCACTGCAATTATGTTATGTATTCATACAGCACATGAGACCACAAGGCTAAATTTAGAGGAATATCAGTAAAGGATGTAATTCACTCCATAGTAATTCAAGATAAATATATAATGCCAAAAGTCTTACACTGAATTTCCCATGGACGATCATGACATCGTCGCTCTGTAGAGCAAACCTAATAGTGTTAAACTTCCTGTCATTGCCTTCACTCACTAAAAATAGCAGTCCACATAACACATAACACATAACACATAACACAACTAAATATAAAGGATCAAGTAGCTACATGTTTCTCCTAGAATCTAGTCTTGTATTTATGATTGAGATACTACGAATTCTTGCAAGACATGACTAGTGTTCTAATGTTACAGCATAGTCATATGCATGTATCACATGATGCACGACCTCCAATTCACACGGGGGCACGGGTGGCCCAGTCGTCTAAGGCGCCGCGATTCACTGTGCAGAGTTGCGTCCCTTAGACACGCCAGAAACCTATGATTGTTGGTTCGAATCCCGGTTCTCCCCGATTATGTTTCTAGGTTTGTCAGCACCATACCCGTGCTCGTGGGTTTCACCGAAGTGGTAAACGTCTGAGACCTGCATCACTTCGGGCTTTCCTCCCACATTAAGCTGACACGCCGTGATATAACTTGAATACTATTAAAAGCGGTGTTAAACCCAACTCACTCACTCACTCACTCCAATTCACAACGTTCTGATTTAGCCTATTATTTTATTTTTTAAGTAAGATAGTTCATGTCATATATTAGAACTACAAGCTCTGAAAAGAAAATTGTGTTTTTTTGTGCATACACCTATGTCATTCACAAAGTAAATTGTAAACCACAATGCATAATTGGTAAATATTTGGCAAGAAATGTGGGGAATATTTTTGTTCTGAGGTGAAACTACGGGAAAATACATCAATGTCCGGCAGTGAGAGTAAGTGATTTTTGTGACACGAACAATTCCGAAGAAATCAACCTCCCAAACAACAACACTGTGACAGTCAAGAAGCACGTGACCCCGGACGGCATGTGCAAGAAGTGGTATGTCAGATCTACCATTGTCACTCAGACTCGTTTGTGAGCAGACGCATTGTTTTCTTGGAACCAAACGCTCACAGACCCATTACCAACAAATACATAACGTCGATGCCAGACGCCACACTTGACGCCGAAGGGCAACAACTCAAGTCCAGGACAGACTAGTCAGAACGATGACATTAAGGAACGGTTTCGAATTGCCACTCAGATGAGGGACCGGTTACAACAGGTAACTGGTGTACGAGTACGTGTCGAGATGGTTGCACAGTTGGCATTTGCGTGCACGACGTCCACGTTTCAGCCAACAACTCACTGCACGCCATTTAAATCAGATGTTTCAGTGGTGTAGGGAACGTCAACACTTGGATAATCGACGTTGGGCTGATGTCATGTTTTCTGACGAATTATGGTTCACTTCGACTTCCATGACCGAAGAAATCGAGTTTGGAGACGTCCTAATATGAGCGTTAACGTCCTACAGCATGCTCGTTGTGGGGGTGGGGTCCATAATGGTATGAGGGTGGCATCACAATGGCTGGCTTCGCACTATACTGTCCACCGCAGCCAACACAGAACAATACTGTCGGGACAACATCATTGCACCACTTGCGTTATTCAAATATCTACACAATAACGATCCCTCGTGGCCTCTTAGCATTAAAAATACCATGCACAATTGTAATGCAAACAAATCCAACTTCAGTTCCATTCTCGGATATTTCGCATCGTACCACCTCAGCATTAAATAAGGTAGTTCACATTACCTTGTTTTGTACCTTGTATATTTATGGTCAGATTAAAATATGTCTTCATTCAAGGGAACATCCTGTTACTGTCTTGGTAACAGTTGGATTAGCGGAATTGCTGTAGGACACAGAACGACAGAGATCCAGTGTCCTGGTAACTACGATCGGTGTGGTGATCATTTGGTTATGACTGTATACAGAAAAGGTAAGGCTGGACCAGTAAATTTGAAATCATTTTCATTTGTTTACCTTTATCATGGTTATGTTTGAAATATAATTCTCAAACGTATATCAGACGTCATCAAATTTTCATTATTTGAATAACAATATATATCAAGTTGACGTGAGGGTCATATAATATATATTGTTAACGTCAGTTGTTTAGGCTGATGTTTATGGTCAGTGACAAAGATCGAGTGATAAATTTCCTTTCCTGGAGGGACGCAGCAAATCACGGATGTGCCAAATCCGGCGGACATCTTTTTGTTCCCCAGAGCCAGAGTGATGAATATCGTGTGATAAACTTAATAGATGAGCATAGGATGTATTATGTTGATGGATTCCAATACTCGTACTTGAAATGGTCGGGTGAGGTAGTGTAAGCCTGGTTCATCTCTGATGTATCTTTCTGCTATCCAATCATGTATATGGAGGAACCAAACACACATATGTAGATATATATGCAGCATTTGTCAAGGCTTGTTTGTTTTGGAATTCCCTGTTACATCACATGTTTCCAGTCTATGCAATACATGTGCATTTCTTTGTTTTCACATCCTTGCTGCTTCCTCTTATATATATTCTTTAAAACGGAACTTTGAAAATACATGACAATAGTTTCATGTACATCATTTCAGATGACTACAGAAGGTACCACACTAGAGTCGGTTACATGTACGCTGGTGTTTTGACCCCTGTCACATTACAGGACAATTCTGCATTTAGTTGCGATTTAAGATGTGGGAACAATCATCGACTGTATGGACTTAAGGTAAATATATGCGAAGCAACTCTTTCCATGATCATAAGAAATCTCTGAGCCCATGGTACTATTTCATAATTATGATAATACTGGGTCCTTTCGGAGGTACCCGTCAGAAACACGTACAAAAGCAATAAAAGGTCTGGGACCCCTAATACCACAGAAACAAATTAAAGCATATAGACCCAGAATGATATCAGAAATCTCGTCTCAACAACGAATACAATGCCTTTATGTAGAGCATACCATTCGAGCGGAGGAGCAGCCAAGATGATAAAACGTTTAATCGTTAAGCCGAAGGCTTGAGTTCAATTCCCGACATGGGTACAATGTGCGAAACCCATTTCTGGTATGCTCCGCAGTGATATTGCTGGAATATTGATAAACGCTGCGTAAAACCTAACTCACTCACTCACTCACTCACTCACTCACTCACTCACTCGTTAGGCGACTAACGGGATCGGGTGGTCAGGCTCGCTGACTTGGTTGATGATGCATGTCATCGTTTCCCAATTGTGTGGATCAATGCTCATGATGTCAATCACTGGATTGTCTGGTCCAGACTCGATTATTTACAGACCGCCGTCATATAGCTGGAATATTATAGTCTGGCGTTAAACAACAAACAAACAAATAAACAACAAACAAATAAACAACATTTACAGAAATAGACTACGACTATTCTAATGTCATCAGTAAAGGAATAGGTTCACTGGCAATTACATGTCCACGGTAAATGTCAAGATAAATATATAATGTTAGACATCTGACATTGAATTTCCTAGGACGACCATGACATCGTCACTCTGTAGAACAGACCCGAATTGTGTAGAACTTCCCGCCATTGCCTTTACTCACTAAAATGTCAGTCTACATAACATAACTAAAAGTAAAGGACCATTTACCTTCATGTTTCTCCTAGAGTCTACTGTTGTTTATAGTATTGATCAACTTCAACAGCGGGTGGCACAGTCGTCTAAGGCGCCGCGATTCGCTGTGCAGAGTTGCGTCCCTTGGGCACGCCTGAAACCTATGATTGTGGGTTCGAATCCCGGTTCGCCCCGATTATGTTTCTAGGTTTGTCAGCACCATACCCGTTCCCGTGGGTTTCACCGAAGTGGTAAACGTCTGAGACCTGCATCACTTGGGGCTTTCCTCCCACATTAAGCTGACACGCCGCGATATAACTTGAATACTGTTAAAAAAGCGGCGTTAAACCCAACTCACTCACTCTTGCCCGACAGGACTAGTGTTCTAACTATAATGCCATAAACATATACCATATCTCATAAAGAATCAAATTCTCTACGTTCTGAATTAGCCAATTATTTTGTTTTCTAACTAAGACAGTTCACGTCAGAATTTAGAACTACAAGCTCTTGAAACAAATGTGCTGTTTTAGTGCGTGCACAATGTAAAACGACAGTACATAAAAGGTAAATATATAATTATCATTCTACCATCTGTGTAACTAGAACATGCAACAACTATATCTATCCACAATACATAATATATTTCTATATACGCCAACCATTCAAATATCCACACAATAATAACCCCCATGGCCTCATAGTTATGATATCATAAATGCAAACAGAGAATAGTACATGGTTGTTATCATAGCCTTATTTTGTACATTGTGTAATTGTGGTCTGATTAAAATATATCTTTACTCAAGGGAACATCCTGTTACTGTCTTGGCCTTTACTCACGGTCGTACAACATTACTGTAAGCCACAGTGCGACAGACATCCGATGTCCAGGCGATTACAACGAGCGGTGTGGTAACGATATAGTTATGACTGTGTACAAGAAAGGTGAGAATAGACCAGTAATACTTTTCTTTTGTTTACCTTTATTACGGTTATGTTTCGAAATAAAATCATCAAACGTTCATCAGGCGTCATCAAATTTTCATAATCTGGATAACAAGATCATTTGATTAAACAGAGGGGTAAAGGATAGGATATACATGGCATTCTTAAGCACCCAAGATGATGCCAGGAGTGAAGTTCTTAATCCATAGTCTGGTTGCTACTTGAAGGTTCGTCGAATTGGAAATTTTCTCGAACCTTAATTTAATCAATGGGAAGGGTACACACACGAACACAAGAAGAGTTATAATTTCCGAACGTTCAGAAGTTGATCACAACTGCCTACACTGTGAAGGAAAACTGCGCGCATGTTTGTGTTATACTCAATGTTTAGCCTGTGTCTGGAAATGACAGAATCTGTGTTGATTCAGGATGAGATAAGGCCCCCTGCATCTCAAGTTTGTTGTAGGAGCCGACTAAATGAGGATCGGGTGGTCCCAAAGTGCGCCTTTGTTGATTGTATGTCTTTGTGCCTTGACGGCGAAGAGCGTTGCTCAAATTGATTTGTCCGGTGCAAAGTCGATTACTTAAAGGTCCTTGTAGCTGGAGTATTGCTGATTACGGCGTAAAACACTATTCTTTCACTCAAAAAGATGACGTAAGGGTTATATCGAGTGTTAACGTCAGTTGTCTAGGCCGATGTTTATGGTCAGTACTTGCCCGTGCAACAAAATTTAAATCTTTATCAGTGTCAGTGTAGATAATTCAAAACGTCAACGCAAGAGAATTAACAGTCTCCACTTGGTGTCAAAGGCGAACCAATGGTGAAACTTACGCGATTATATCAATAACGTGATGTGCAAGCTTTGCCGTCACCAATGAGACATTTGAAAATCGATATACTCTTATGTTTGTGTGTCACATCTCAAATCTGGCCCTAATAAACGCCTCAAACAACATGATATTCCAATTCTTATCCTTCACTGTTATGACCTATCTGGTTGAGCACCCTCCGTGGTCTAGTGGATAGAGCGTCTACGCGGATAACAACAGGTCGGTGGTTCGATCCCAGGCTGATTCACACCCACGTTAAATAATGGTTGTTGTTACTCTGCATGCGCTCGGCATTAAGGGTATTAAACAAGGACAGGTCTCCTCGGCTTCAGTATAATGTGTCTGAGTGGGGTATCAATGTTAAACACAACACACCTTACTCACACACACATATGCAAGCACGCACGCACAGGTGCATGCACGTCACCATATGAGGGCAATTATCTTGATCGATGCTGAACCGTATTTCACCTCATTTGAGTGGTAGCGTTCCAAAATATGTCTCGAATCGCAAACAGTTGACAAAACAACCTGTCATGACTCTTCCCATAATCATCACTAAAGTAAAACGCAATGATAGATCATGTGTTTGACAACAAGTAAGAACTTGTTTGAATATAGAACATTTGATGTCACTGTAGGGGAACAGAGCGTCGTACATATGTAGCCTAGGTGATTTGGTGGAGACTAAATGACACAAATAGAATATTATTAGTTTACGTGTAACACTTCTTAGATTTTGTATAATTACAGGTGACATATACGTACCTCTGTCAACGAATGGAGCGTGCGGTTATGTAGAAAGGTATTGGGATTACAACTGGAGACAATGGTACCCTACATATCACCTCGATAACAACTGTGGCCACAAGAGACCATACGCATGCGCAGACAAAGGTGGGAACATCCATTTGTCAAAGAACATACTGATTACAGTTACGCAGTCGAAGTGAACCTCATCTATAGTGACTATGTAATAATTATGACATATTGTACAGGGCGAGATCATTTGCAGTGTGTACTCTATTCATCACGTGTAGCACACCTTGACCTATCTAGCTTTAGGATGCACACCAAACTGCAAGACGTCGCGTCTCTATTCATCACGTGTAGCACACCTTGACCTATCTAAGCCAAACTGCAAGAAGTCGCGTAGGAGAAAGTTTTGTCTTTTAGCAGAAATATTGATATTTTCGTGACGTCATTGTTTTTATGAAACAACAAAGATAACTATGCTGATATCATTGGTAATGGATAAAGTGATTGAAACGGGCTTCACACATTGTATCCATGTTTGGAATTGAACCTGAGCCTTGGTCGTGACGAGCGAACGCTTCCACCACAAGGCGACCCAAACGAGCACACAATCATCTAACATGCATATGCATGTCTACACGCTAGAATTACTTAATGGCGTATCAACAGACATCTTTTATTTAATCACTTACTCATCTTCTGTTATTATTTTATCCTTCTGTAGTTAAATAGCCACTATTTGCAGACTTAGGGTCTCGAAATACACCGGAAGTTATGCAATTAAAAACAAATTTCATCTAAGAGTGTAAATTGAAGTAAGGCTACTGGAACAACATTCATCTATCGAACTATTTACAGTTTTACATTTACAATCATTTATATTTAATCAACATTGCACGACCTCTCTGGTAAGATTTCGTTCATTTCTTGGAGCGTTAGGGTAGCCCATGAGGCAGATGGCCTTGTTACGACGCCACAGATGGGTACAGTAGCCTGTTTTTGGTGTCCCCGACGTGATATCGCACAGGAACATTTCTTAATCCTGTTTCGTACTCAATTCGAATTTAGTTTCTACTGAATTATGGTTTTTTATTTGTTTATAAATAATAATTGTGTTCTTGTTAATTTAATGATTCGTTTATTGATATTTTAGGGTAATTGATTTCCCAATATACCTGAAAATATCAACATTTCCCCATTGAGAATGTATAGTTGGTTCATGTAAAATGACAGATTGTTGAGAGATTAACATAATCTCTTACATTTACAACTTCATACGGAGAATTGGAGGGCTTGTATGAGATATATAATATCCGCAAATTAGAAGTATACTGACAGTAGTGAATATTTAACGAAGATTTCATTGTTATACATATATATGGTCGCTTGTGGCCGAGTATGAATGTATATCATTACACTGGTATCTTTCAGGTTGCGATGGAAAACCGTGTGTGAGGACACCAGCAAAAACATGGGAAGCAGCACAAAAGGACTGTAGACTGGCAAAACCTACTATCTCAAGCAACTGGTATAATCTATATCAAATATCTGATCGTCAATGCTGGATTGGGTTGTATCGATCCATCGAAGGAAAGTTTATTAACGGTAAAGAACGATGGAGTAATGATTCTTTTCTGTTTCTTATAGTTGCATCTTTTGAGGTCTTTTACAATTACTGACTCAGAATATGCGGTATATGTAAAATAAAACTGTGTCCATCATATGATGTTCACTGGAGATAATCATAAAACATAGTATCAAGCAAATATACTCACCGTCAAAAGAAATGCGAATATCATATATGTTGGTTAATATAGGAATAATTACTCCTTTTCAAGAGACATCACAAACGAACATACTGTTATATTGTGTGAACCGACGCTCATGAACGCATCACATGTGACGTCATAGATCCATGACTCGAGATGCACCATTTGTCTTGTGTAAAGTTTGGAAATCACCTGCTGCATATCGTGATAGGAATAAAGACACCCTGTGGTAACACTTGACTGATTGTTAGTTTTGTTATTAAGTGATACACTCTGGAAACAATTCTTCTTAAGGTAATATCTTCTGTATATGATTTTATGGTTCGCGTTTCTTTTGGCGTTAAGTATATACTTGATTTTGTTTATATTAACACGGACTTCAATTACTTAATGAAGTAAAGTGTCTCGATTTAAAACAGAAGAAATGATTAAAATCATGTCATATCTTCTTTCATAGGGAAAACAATTGAAAACAACGTCAACATGTATTACTCAGACCAACGGTGCCTTGGTGTGTTAAGAACTGGTAACTCCTTGCACTTCAATTGGTACGACTGTCATCTTTCGTATCCAGCTATTTGCAACCCAGGTAAATACACTCAAACCTTCATGAAATCTTCGAATAATCAGATCTGCAATAATCCGTCAAACACATAACGCCATTATTAAACCTACATTGTGATAATGTTTACAGTGAAACGCGAATCAACGCCATTGATATGGGGATATACTTCTGCGATACACTCATCTACACAAGTGGTAGGTGCATCGACAAAAATGACACAGGCGACACAACCTTCTTTATCTGTGTTTCTAACATCGCCAATGGAACCACCTGCCACAACCCAGAAGGACCTGTTACCAACGGACTCTTCAGAATCATCTGTTGAACGTACTACCTCTCATCCAGTAGACAGTTTTGTAAATCAAGGAACAGACTCTGTAGAAGATCACCCATCTGGATTTACAGGTACAGGTTATGAATGCATAATCATCGATGAAGTATGTTCGTTTAATGCAAAAGTATTGGCAAATCATGAACTATACATAAATTCACCATCTTACTCATAAGGAGTAAACAAATTCAACTCACTTGTTGGTGTTGTAACTGGACATTAAATAAAAGAAATAGCATATACGTCGACTGTCCATAAATTTGCTGATGACTTAAAGCCACCTTTTCACATTTTTAATTCAATAATGGTTTGTCTTCTGGTATGTTCGACGAGTTATTCCGATCAGAAATTTCAATAGCATTGCCCATTACCTGACCATTAGACCATACCAATTTTCAAATACATATATAATAAGTAATAATTATGTTACAATATTCCCTTATTTTGACCTTTTGAATTTGAACACAAGACATTTAGGAATATACAAGTGGAGTAGTGTTTGCCATAGATTAGTGAGTACACGTGTAAAGCCATAGTCAGCACAGCTGCCAGTAACCAATCCACCTTGCGCATCGGGGTGTTGTGCCACACACCAGCAGAGTCGCCAAATGTGACCAAACTGTCGTCACTTTTGTCGGTTCTTACAGAGTGATGGGTTCCCCATGGGATCATCACAGAACATTGCTGTAATGTAAATTCACGCATTCAAATGAATGAAAGGTAAACCGTATAACTTACATTCATGTTAAAGATGAACATAACACATTCAAACATACTCCCCCTTCACGATTCATGCATTCATTTCAGTGATGCACATTGTGGGTGCGGCGAGTGTCCTGGCTGTGGGGATTGTTATCGCCCTGGTGCTTGTACTCTTGAAAAGGTGCGTTTACAAATACGGTGTATTACTAAATATTGGCGTTTAGTATAGGAGATTGTTACACCGGCAGTCTGTATTTTGTCCATTTAGAATAAACTAAAGGTACCAAGTACTTACTGCCGGTGTAACAATCCCCCAAAACCATTTAGAATATGTTATGCCAAAATATGTTTGACAAATTTGTTTTTAAATATAACTTTGTATTCATGACTTGTATATATCAACTTGATCTCGTCGCTATGTGGCTAAAATAAAGCGACGTTAAATTTTAACTCACTCACTACCTCACGCACTCCATTTAGAATGCCAAAGAGTGAGTCATTAAACGAGTAGCTCCATATTCTACAATCGCTTCAACAATAAATGTATTGTGATACCATATTGGAGTTTTAAGTTCACTATGTGTATCTTATATAGATATATAAATGTTATCAGATGCATTCATAACTTATTATTGTTATAGACAAAGACGTTATTGTTTCAAGATAGAAGACGAGAGAGAAGATGGTGTCCATTATGACAGAGCTAGAGAAAACCTCTCTTACTCTCTTTGTGGTCCAGTGTCACAAGGTGCTACAAGTGAGGATGCACATGTTTGTCCGGTGCAAACTGAAAGTACAAGCCCAAGGTCAACAAGGATGTCAAGGGTTCCCATTCAAAATCGTGTCAGCAACAACGGTTTCAAACAGGAAGAAAGTTTTTACAACGTTCCGGATGAAAAATCGCCAGGACAACCTACACAAATTGGACAAATAATTCAAATCAATGACACAGCTGCAAGTCCTCAAAACAAAGGTTTTGAGGATGACGGTCAATACAACGTCTTACATGGGGGAGGGTTGGCAAGTGATAGTAAATCTGGATTGTATGCCCACATTGGACCAAGCGGCGGGGAGGTGGAGTATGATACAACACGACATGCCCAAAATATAGGACGATTCGACGATACCTACAACCACATTGGTCTGAGCAAGAAACCTGACGTTGATGACGAAGATCAATATAATGTATTAAGCCTTAAGAGTCCCAACTGGGCAGCTAATGCAAGTACTGGAGTGTATGACCATACAACACCTACTGCAGACCAACGGAGCATGGCCTCAACGGTACAAGGACAGAGTCAGCACGTCTCAGATGACATTTACAGTCACATAGACAGAGCAAGCAGGGGGCCAAAGAAAGAGGAACACGATGTAAACACGGAGGGAAAGGAAGGCAACGGTGATGACGCCCAGAACCTCAACGGTAAAGCCGACGTTGGCTGTTGCAGTGCAGATGTTTCAGATGGTGCTGGTACAGAACATGTGTATGGTAACACAGGGGAGATAATCGGTCCCTACAATAAAGCGCCGTGTGTCGAGGATGAAGCAAACTATTATAACATTGACTCAATACGAGAGTCCAAATTGGACGAAACATTAACGGGAGGCGAGGGAGACACTGTATATAGTCTTGCGCGTGGAATCTCTGATAAGTAAAATAACCACGGTCTTGTAATTCATACAAACTGCATATTATGCAAATTGAGATGCCGATTTAAAGTGATATGTATATAAACTTAAACATTATTGCAAATATGAAATATGCATGGTAAATATTTCAATTTACTTGATTTACTTGATTGTATTGTTTTCCCTTGAGTTTATATCAATAACTAACCATTTTAGTGTATGTTGTATTTACATCCCTTTGTACCGTTGTACAAAACAACCTTAGCGCTACGACTGTCGTAAGTCTATGTTAAGGCATGGGAGTTACGATCATCACCTAAGCACCAAGATCGCTTTGTACAACGGCACCTTGGAGACTGCCTCGTGGTCTAGTGGTAGACAGGTAGGGGGTTCAATCCCCGGCCGCATCATACCAAAAGACGTTAAAAGATGGCACTTTGCTACCTTGCTTGGCGCTAGACATCAAGGGGCTAAAACAATGACTGGTCGGCTTGGAGCCAGTATACTGTGTCTGAGTGGGGTGTCCATGTTAAACTGCGGCATGGTATCTCAGTGTGCAAGCACAATAAAACACGCACACGTACGCACACACGCACACGCACGCAATAAGCTTGGACGCGACGTTAAACCTACTTTCACCTGGTATATATTCGTCAGTGCAAATTGCTTAATTTATGTTCCTTTAACATGAACACTTTAGTGTGGTATATATTTTGGGTGAGTCAGTGAGTTAAAATTTTAATACGTTCATTAGGAACTAATATCTGTTTTAACAAAATTATTGATTCTATAGGTATATAATGTTTAAAATTATTTTAATTAATATGTAATCTTCCGCTTCCTACCCTTCCTCGTTTGAACTGCATATTTTTTTAATGAAGATATCAAAGATCTTCTCAAAAGAAAAAGTATCCATTCAAAGAAGACTACACCGATTGTCATTTTCCAGTGAAGTGAATTTTCCGTTGCAGGAATAAATTGTCAAATTGTCAATGACCGTCGTTAAGTTGTAGTTTATCCAGACAGCTATAATAACTATACAGAAGGATTATGTGGACTGCTCTGATCTCCTTGATGTACTGGGATATATGTTAAACATTTTGATTCAGTTATTTTCTGTTTAGTGCATGTACATATATGACGTTAGCGTATTCCGCATTTATCTGATTTTCTTGTACTTACTTACGCATGAAGTGATGGTTTCCTTTCCTCACATATGTTTTGTTTTTAATTTTAAATCAAATGTCACCAACACACACATTTTGTATTGTCATTAATTGAATTGACAAGGAAAGTTAGCGTGCTGTTTAACTAGGGATGTTTGTGTGATGTGATGTCCACAGGCAACCATGTGCAACTATCAGGTTACAACTTGATCGGTCGAATTCCAAGCATGAAGTTGATCTGATCGATCGAAAAACGTTTGAACACATTTCATTCCAATCAGTCGAATCGGTGTAGTTGCCCAGGCATGGTAGCTTCTCGGGATCTACATATTTATTTATTTTGTTCACAATAGTGAATGGGTGGTGCTGGTGACCAAATGTACATACATCTTTGTATATATTGTAATAGTTTTCTTTTAGAATCAAAAATACTATAATAAACCTTTTCACAACAAATATCTTATTTCACAATTTTAACGCAATCTATATCGCTACTTACTTTTCTTTGCTTACTTACTTATTCTTCAGTTTGAGAATCAGTTTCCTGTAGTGTTAACATATTCACTTGGGTCATCTTCACGTCACTTTTAGGTATGTTTTTAGAGGAGAGATCTCCGATTTATTGTTTTCATGAAATCTGATTTAAAACTATTCACTTGTCATGAATAAAACACTTTTTAATCTTTACACCCCATACTTAATAAATAGTGAAATTCTCTGTTTTGATATTGTTATTCTCCAGGAAGTGATACGTCGACTGTGCTTGAATATACAGTACTGATTTGTCAACCACCATTTTCGCATTATTGAGTAGACAGTCAGGCAATCAGGACCTATACAGTAAGGTTCTGTAGCTCACCCTTTGTCTTCCATTTTTCTTGTCCTCGGAATAAAGAGTTAGATAGTCATAGTGCTGCGTACATACACTTGTGATTGTGGTCAAATAAGTGTATGGCATAGTCGTTTTAGTTGTCAGGGAAAACTTAATGTACATTCAGTCCTGGGCTCTCAAAGCGACATTTGCTCCTATAATTTAACATACACTTACGACATTAAAGCACTACGGCTGCTTTGTGAAACGATGCCTAGCGTGGAGACTAAATGCTTTTGATGTAATCTTAATGACTGAGCTTTTGGGTAGTGTATGATAACAATGCCGTCAAACTGTATACCTGTAGTATGGGGTGTGAGTGAGTGAATACAGTTTGGAGCCGGAGTCGAGAATACCACAGTGATAGAACAACAGCCTCCAGGATACTTTCAGTCTAGTTTGGGCATTACATATTCACGTAACAAAGGCGACCGGAAAGGTTGTTTCAAACGAACCATTATGCATTATTTTTAATCATTTTGTTTTCCCCCAAAGCAACGGGATCGGTTTACCATAAGCATATAATTTAAGATCTTGATCTCATTTTATCTGTGTCGGGTGAAACAAAAGAAATAAACATCTTAAGGGTAGTAACAGGGGTACTTTATTCAATTCAATTCGGTTTATTTTCGTAAGTGTAGGCCATCGGCCCATAATTACATTTGTATTACAATGGACGTGATATACACAGCTATTATTGTTGTGACAATAATGTACTACGGTCACACAGCTAAGATACAACTCTGTACCAAACGATACCTTGAATAAAGAATAAGAGAAAGATTTACTACCCTTGTCCAGAAGACTATGCCAATCCTGTTCATAATTACATTTCAGACGCGACATAAACTCTGTCAAAAACGAATAAGGATGACTTATACACTGGTTTTCCCATACAGAGCCAAAACCCAAACTGAAAAATAAAGATTTACATTTTGATACCCAGTAAATTTTACCATAACTTTCTGCCTGAAGCATCACATAATAACATTTCTTTGGACAATCGGACATACTCAATAACCTTATCCAATAACCAATAACTATTTTGTATGCATAAAGATATAATGGATACCGCCCACATTCACCTCGAACCATGTTGTTGGCCATGGGTGTTGACGATTAGACACCTAGAGAGCGCTTGCATGCCAATGTATGTATGGTTTCTATTTCATCATTCTGGAGTAGACCCCAGACTTCGGAACCATAGAGCAAAATTTGGACTTTATTCCATATTATACTGACCTGCTCTGACATTTTAATTATATTAAAATAAGACTTAATTACTGAGCGAAGAGAATTCGTTTATAAAAATTATTCCACATATGTGAAATTTTGATGGACGAATCAGTGTCATAAAGATTGATATCAAAGATGTTTCCATCAAATACACATAGAGAGAGAGAGAGAGAGAGAGAGAGAGAGAGAGAGAGAGAGAGAGAGAGAGAGAGAGAGAGAGAGAGAGAGACCGCCTGCTATGTCTAGCTTGGTGTGAGAAAAAGTGTTTCTGAGTGGGGTATTCATGTTAAACTGGGGCAACAATTGTGAACCCCATTTCACCTCACCTACATACATAGATTGCCTGTTAGCTATAGATGGTACAATCTGGCATTAAAAAGGGAAAATGCCCATGGAAACAATATGTTTTTAGCTACTTATATCAACAGATGTGTTGCCGGTAGCTGAGATTGTGTGGCAAGTCTGCTTGTTGGCCTGTTGTCCATTTCCAGTCTAGATCTAGACGTTGTAATGAGACATGTGGAACCTAGACATTGACTCCTTGTAGATAGGGAATTCATCAACATATCTTAATTACATTTGACTGTGCAGACAAGAGGAGTGTTTGAAACTTGGGACAAAGTGTCAATTGCTGTCACTTAACTCGGGCTTATTCGCCCTTTATGCCTTCGCTTATCAAGTGAACGTCATGCCTGTAGGAAACAGTTTAAAGGAGAAAGGAAGCGACCAATTAATTCATATGACATATCTTGCCTTGTGTCATTTTATATAGTGATAGCCGATATAACTACGGCTGTCCTAACACTGTCGAAGAAGCTTCCTTGTTAAGCCATCCCTCCGAGATCTAAGCGATGCATTTATACTTGGCCTACTTCCCGTTAAAAACATTATTGTTTCTTGGAGTGAGCTGCTCTGGGTACGCAGAGACCAAGTGTAAGTATGTGCTTCTACGCATGTGTATGTGTCTGACATGTACAACTCATTCATGGTGCTTCTTGTATGTATTTGTGATGTCACAGTCAACAGAATGCAGGTCATCATCATATGACAAACCAACGGAATCTTTTACGAAATATGATTTAACATATCGACAGAACCAATTTTAATGTGTCCATGCAATAGTTATTATTATCTTATAGCTGATAAAAAGTCATTCTTAAAGTTATCAAATCATAGAAAGTACATTATATTTCTAAAAGAGTAATGTCATAATATTTCTAAAAGAGTAATGTCATAATATTTGTAAAAGTGTTTTAAAGGTACACATGCACGTATTGCTGATTTCAATATTTTATCAGTCTTTTTTATCAGCTTCTCCCTGAGAATATATATTACTTATCCCCAACTGTCTTGTTGCAGAGTATAGCAGTTACTTTCCTCTAAACACATATCTAACGCTTCTCACCAGCTGGCTAAAGAGGCCGCACACATCTATGTACCAGCAATATCATAGGATATCCTGCTTGCTTCCTGTGCCGTTGTGGGATAGGTTGACTCACGCTCACTGGACACCACTGGGATGCTCATCTATCAAGGATGATGACACTACGATACTACGATATACTATGATACACAATTGAAGCTAGTTACTAGTCATAATAAAAGCTTGGTCATTTTGTCTAAATACAAGGAAGCATCATGAAGTTCTTAATGAATGTATAAATATATCAGACAGTTAAAAAGTAATCTTTAATGGCGAGCGGTGTGGTCATAAAACGAAGCAACGGACTTTATTTATACATGTGTTTTTCTGATCCCATGGTCGTGGGGAGTATGTAGCAACAAGTGAATATACCATATGCAGATCTATAGCGACGTCAGGTGCGTCCATCCCCCTTCACCACCACCCACTCACAACTGCACACTACACCTAACATCCAGTTGTGTTCCAGCTGCTGACCGGATCTTGTTGAGCAGTGAAATGACACTACAGCAACTTTTCACTCAGCATCTGATATTGTTGATAGAAATAAGGCCTTTCCATAATCATAAGAAAGCGTACGCGAGATAACACTATAAATGTCTCTTTGGTCTGTGTTACGATAATTCTTTCCATCGGTAACTTTTTAACTCGAATTGGCTCGAATTAATTAATTAACATCAGCACTAAGACAGTCTTATAAATTCCCATTGTTAAGCACATACTCTGTATCTTATTTGGTTGTTAAGTATTTAAAGAATCTATGTTAAAAGGTTATGGCGGTTGTCGCGCTAACATCGCTTGAGAGAACGGCCCGGGAACTATTAAACAATGTTGAAATGTCCGTAGTGTGAAACAAACAAACTGTATAAATGTATAAAAACATACAAAGTAAAGTTAGGGATTTTACCTTCACCTAGATTTACGAAGCAATCTTCTCGCAAACATATGTTAAGGTATATGATAGTCGTAGCGCGACAAAGCGATCTTATATATCGCTAAGACGATTGGAACTCTAATTTTTCAAAATGGAACGCGCTCGAGCCTGATCATAACCTTACATTTTCTTATACGATACATCGTGATACCAAAGTTCTAGTTAACGATATTTCACTGTTTCACAAAATCTCAAATTTGGATCTCTCCTTTCATAATTCCTTGACCTTTACTGTGGTACCAACCAATCATTTCTCTGTTATGTTACCAAACTGCTGCACCTTTACAGCGACAGGCGACCTCTACATCAGAGATGCTGTTTCCAGTTGGAAGGATGCTCGAAGTGCATGCAGCGGAGACCTCTACGTCCCCAGTGACGGCAGTGTTCCGGGCACCGTGTCTGCAAAGCTGTTGTTGAACACATACTACTGGATTGGTGCCATACAGTATTCGACATGGAGGTGGACACGTATGTGTTATTTGAAGGCTAAACTGACATACTGGTGCTAACTACGGTCTGTTGATAGTAGCATATTAATATATGCAGTGTTTCAATATTCAAGATGACTTCAATATTTGAATAATTAATACACATTTAAGTTATTATCACATTACATATAACTGTACGATCAGTAGATCCGTATAAATTGTCAATGCAAGAGAATAACCAGTCTTGATTATACATCGAAACAGATTTCATTTGCGAAAAGGGCAAAACAGCTGTGAAAACATGATGGTCTAAATAGGTTTCCGTAGTTAAGTTAACAAACTTATCTTGGTGTATGGTTGTAAACATAGTTACTTTGCTCCTGTAATTCATAGTTACCAACGTAAAAACACACAACCCTAACTTCGTTATAAGGATAGATACTGTAGAAAAAGATTTCCTTTCATAATTTCTTGATTACTCTGAACATTAAAAAACTCACATTGAATTCTCTGACAGAGGATAACAGCCCGCTGTACACCTATATTGGCCTAAGGACACTTCCTCTCGGTCTGTCACCGTCAACAAGCAATGCCTGGAACTCAGTCTACCTCTGTCACATTCATTGTGGTCAGGAGTGTACGGTACTCGGTCTCAGGGTACGTGTGCACAAACCTTCTTCGTCCTTGTACATGTCATTTAATAGGAGGATGTCATCATCGTTAAGAATGCTAGTTATACTTGGCAAAAACAGTTTCCATCCTCCTTCCATGAAGAAAACACAAACAAATATATTCGATAAAACTGTTTATGATAGAGTATATATATGAATATAATGTCGTTGATCATCATTTGTAGAGTGATTGATATGTGTGTGTGGGCGTGCGTGCGTGCGTGCGTGCGTGCGTGCGTGTGTTTATATATGACTGTGTGTGTTGGGTGGGGGTGGGGGCGGGGGTGGGTTGGGGTTGGGGGTATATTGTGCCCTGTGTTTTTGATACAATGTCTTGGATACAATGGGCATGGGGTGTGTGTGTGTGTGTGTGGGGTGGGGGGGGGGGGGGGGGGGGGGGTGGGGGGTGGGGGTGGGGGGGTGGGGGGGGGGGGGGTTGTTACAATGTGGACCTACTTATGAGTCATCGTACCATGATGGCGAGGCTATGTGCTCTTGATATCAATCTCTTGATTGTCTGACCCAGGTTCGGTTATTAACAGGCTGACGTAATATAGATATATAGACAGGCGACGTGCACCAACTCACCATCCAGATGCATGCATGGAGCAGTCCCATGTTGGGGAATCTCATTACAGTCATTTAGACACATCTATTCAACCCTTTATGCCATAGTTTCAACTAATAAATGAAACGCCGAATATGTCCTGGGTTTGTGAAATAATGTACAATGTATTTTGTTACAGATGAACGAGTGTTACTGTCTAAGTACAGATGAGGATGTAAGCTTACCTGAGGTATCCACAGAGGTCAGCTGCCCTGGGAATCCGGATGAAAAGTGTGGAAACAATTCAGGGTTGTCCGTCTATAAGCTAGGTACAGTAAACCCCGTTAATGCGATACCGTTCCCGGGTCAGTCGTCCATATTAACATATTTCGGGATAAACGAATCCTAGATACGGAGTAATCTCCCTTTGTATACATGATCACAGATGTTCACGACAGTCCGGTAGTCGGGGAATCACACTCAGTGTATTCAGAAAAATTGGTTTGCGTTGTGTGTTTAAATCGTTCGTTTCGTAAGCGTTAGCTTAATAGGTTTTCGGGCAGTTGCGCACTTTCGAGCAGGGGAGTGAATACATATTGCTGAACAACGCATCAGCAATCTTCCACTTCTTCTCATTGATCAAAACGTTAACCTTGACCTTGACACAGTACATGTTAAGGGAATATTTCTACAAACAGGTATTATTTTGTCTTGTAATAATTTTCCTTGAAGAAATGTTGCGCGTATGTATTTTCCTGCAGGGTGTTAGGAATAGTAGGAATAGATGTAGTAATAGTAGTAGTAGTGAAGTAGTAGTAGTAGTAGTAGTGAAGTAGTAGTAGTAGTAGTAGTAGTAGTAGTAGCAGCAGCAGCAGCAGCAGTAGCAGCAGCAGCAGCAGCAGCAGCAGCAGCAGCAGTAGTAGTAGTAGTCTTGTTATTTTATGCTCAATTTACCATCGTGTGTTGTTCACAGAGGGTATCACCTTCAGGCCAACCAAAGAGGGACACTGTGTGTACGCTACAAGATTGACATTGGGTGCCTCATTTAGTCAGGTTAACCAGACTTTATGCGGAGGGAAAAGAAGATACGCATGTTTCGAAAACAGTATGTATAGTCTATGGTTAAGCATGTTTTCTGTCATTGCTCTGTAGTTTTGCACCCTTTATTTTAAAATATTAGATCGCTGCACGATAAATCGCAATGGAAAATGAAGAACGATGCGTGGTTAATTTCAATATAAAACATTGTTCAATAATGACGTCATTTCTGACGTCGTAAATTGGACGATGTTGTTTTTTAGGGGGAAGTGTCTAGTGAATTGTTCCCCATAGAACTAAGTAGCTTGGCAACGCAGATAAACGCAGTGGCCGAACGATCGCGTCCAAAGGTTATAGAGATAAGACAATCGGTGTAGGGAGAAAAGGTACAGATAATATTGTGAGAATATCCGGGAAATACCAAACAATGTCCAATAGCAGACCTACAGCAATGGTCACGGGAAGGAGGACGCCAAGTGGACGAGCACAGAGTATCACTTTTGAAAGTAAAAGCGACAAAACCCTTTCCATATCAAGAAGAAGTCTCTGCCAAGAACATTGTCGAATGTATGATTCCGACTCACATCATGAGCATGTGTTAATGAATCACTATAAAATAGTGATTACACAAGGTTTTCGTGAAAAGGTGAGCGCATCCTGCCGCACCGGTGACAACCGTCACAAACACATGCACAGGCAAGTCAATTGTTCACCTGAAAAAAATACACACGGGTACATATGGCACAAGTCAAAATAGTTAATCGCATCGGACATCATTTTTGTCACTGGTGCGTCAAAACTGGAAATGTCCTCCACACGTCTACAATAAAACTCCCCGGAAGCTCCACCGAGGCCCTGAATGCCGCAAACCCGGTCTGAGCTTCTGCCACATTTATTCAGACTAAAGATTTGGACAATTGGTGTGGACATCTTGAAATGAAACCACACTCACATGTAACATACCCTGTGTTTCAGGTACAACGTGGATGTATGGAAGATGTTCATGGAACATTTGTATCACACAGAGAAAATATCAGAAGAACTGGACTGATGCTAGTGCTACGTGTCCTTTGGTGAAGGTTACCTCTTCCAACAGAGATAACCTCACGGCAGCCATGCACACAGGGGATGAAGTGTCCTACTGGATTGGCTTGTCACGACCACTTTCAAGTAAATGGATTAATGGTGAGAATGTGATATGTTGCGTTTAAAGAAAAGAGGATTGTATTTATTTATCAAGACACGTTTGTTACATTTTGGTATTTCAACAACGACACATGACATGATTACTTTTATATTAAAAATCGAGTGATTGATGCGGTTTTATAAACGCAGTCAGTAATATTCCAAGACTATCACAGCATCTTTGCATGAGTCTGGGACACCGAGGTACGATGACATTCAATTGACCCTGTCACACATTATGGTTGTCACACAATAGGTACTAGGGACCTATCATGACTCACAACACACACAGGTTTATGCACAAAAGGAAATCTGTATGTGTGTATGGACATGTACCACCGGTAGTACCCAAAACGATATACACTTGTACATACCTAAAATAAAATATATACAAAAAAGACTAAATGATTAAACTATGACTGAATGACACTGAAAAGCTGTTTGAAAATGACAAGTCATACTCGATTATCCAGCGTATAGTCTCGCCATGTTATAATGATAGATACCGTGTACACATTCGCTACCTCAGCTTCCTTTAGAAGTGACGACACCCTTTTCAAACCTCCTATCAGTAACTTCGCGCAGAATGTCTCTCTCCAAAGAGAGTAATTTGATTGAACAGCTATATTTAGCTATTTTACAAACGAAGCCATGGTAGCCAATGAACCAAGGTTATTTATGATAATAGAATGGAGAGATAGTGCACTAGACAAGATGGTGACGAGTTTGTCCAGCTACAGTTTCATTTAAGAAGACATAATCATTCATTTCAGGGACTACGTCTGCAAGGTACGGGACTGCCTTTCCTGACAGCACAGGGCCCAAGTGTCTGGCTATGATTGCAGACAGATGGCAAAACATAGACCGCCTCTGGGTTCCTTGTGATTTACCACAGAGATCAATCTGTGAAACAGGTCTGTTGATTTAATATATTTGAACCCTAAAATGACGGTACTGATCAAGATGAATGAATGAAAATGCTGCTAAATCCTGATATATCTGCTTGATCATTTGTTGAAAAAGCATTTCAAAGCGAATGACAATACGATCTAATGTTTCAGTGGATCGAACTTTTAATCTTCGTATCTGTAGCCAGTAGAGAGAGAAGCTGATAATCAAAATGTTTTTTAAGAACTTGTTTTACATGTACGCTGGCAAGAGATATTTTACGCCCGCTTCCTAAGGTTCATGGAAAGTATTTTTGAAACATAAAACTGTTGTCTATACATGTTGTTTCAGATTTATCTTTCGGTTTATAAGTTTGTTTGTTTGTTGTTTAACGCCGCACTGAGCAATATTCCAGCTGTATTGCGGCGGTCTGTAAGTAATCGAGTGTGTACCAGACAATCCAGTGATTGACATCATGAGAATCGCATTTGGGATTGATGACCTGCATCAACCAAGTCAGCGAGCCTGACCACCCGATCCCGTTAGTCACCTCTTACGACAAGCATAGTCGCCTTTTAGGGCAGGCATGGGTTTCTGAAGACCTATTCTACCCCGGATCATCTTCACGGGCCCGGTTAATAAGTATGTCAAAGCACTTCCCCTGAGGTTTTTTATGAATTGTGTATTTTGTATTTAGATGATAATTCAAAGATCATTGTCATTGATAGCTAGATACAGGCATGTTTGTATCACAAAACAGCATCACCCTCTTCCATACCACCAAGAACACCAACTTCATCGGCGACAACAACGGACATAGTAACAACGGCTTTGATGTCGACGATGACGGAGATGTTTACAAGTGAAGGTAGCGACGAGAATGTAACGGAGACAACAGACGGTACAGAGAGCAGTACCCTGGCGCCTCCTGCTGATACGGGTGGTGAGAAGTCTACAGCTTCTATCTATTCTGTATTCAAAGACCGTGTATATACATAGTTCTAGCAATGTCCAAGTAATATACTGGCGAATGGTGTATATGTACCCATCTTGGGTTCAAACGTAAACCAGAGGAGTGGTGAGCTGACGCTGTAACCACAAGGCTATCCCACTGCTTGTGATGTTCGGATAGAACACGTTAGGTCCGTGTCAACCATTCAAATACAAGGAAGGTAGTTTTGCACGGTAGCTACTCATTTGGATCATGCATGTGTTATATTAAATGCTGAATTGATATGTTAACTGGACGAATTGGTAGATAAATCATTTTGTTACAATCAAATATTGACAAACAATAACAGTGAATGAGTGTGGTTTAACGCCGCTTTTAGCAATATTCCAGCAATATCATGGCGGGGGACACCAGAAATGGGCTTCACACATTGTACCCATGTCGGTAATCGAACCCGGGTCTTCGGCGTGACAAGCGAACGCTTTAACCACTAGGCTACCCGACCGCCCCTACAAACCATAATAGGAATTGGGAAATATATATTAATATATTAGTTCTAATTTAATATTTGTTTCAAAATTTGACCCAAAGCGTCACACACGCCTATATGTTTCTGTTTAATCACCCCTTCACGAACACCTGGTGTCACTATTTGATAGTGATTCGTAAATACACAACTATGATAAAGTGGGACTCCTACAATGGACACTGCTTATAGTAGAGATATCTTGTGATTATGGAAATGTTTTATGTCGCTTAATATTTATAACATCATTGTTGTTCCAGGGCTATTAATAGGGGTGGCTGTTGGGTGCCTCACACTGCTGCTCGTTGTTGTGGTCACGGTGTATGTTATGTTCAGGTAGGCTATTACCGTTATTCAGTTTCGGTCTTAATAGTCGTACACATTACGCACCTGTGTCAACCTTGATCCTAATTTCGATACTTATTTTGTGAGTGTTGTTTAAATTCATGCTGTATTACGGCTTCTATAACCGAGCTTGGATCTGACATGAGACACGACCCACTCTTCCAGGGCATCTCTTAACACAACGTGTAACAGTGTCTAACAAGCTTGTGTCGCTCCACAAGCGTGTGAAATTATGTACATGATATTTGAACATTGTACGGCGCTTCCGTCAATATTACACTATTTGCAATATACTTATAATGGGCCTTTTCCCCCTAAATAAACACAACGTCAGTCTCATCAGGGCACTAAACAGGTAGAAGGATGAATATCAGACAGTGTAATTACCTGGGCTTCAATACAAATTCATGTAGATAAAATTTACAAACACGCCTATAAGATTTCGATACTAATGAAGTGACAATAAAATATAAACTATAAGTGTCTGATCCGGTAGGCATTCGTTCAGTGAGGAGGGAAATTTTAATACTCGTGATGCAGATATATCTACGATACATAAGCCTAAAACGCCATCTTACATTTTGTTATTTTTTCCAGACATCGAAAACTGTGTTTCAAAAAGACAGGCAAGTTTGAACCCCTTGACAGCACAGCCGTAGAAAATGAAACGTATGGCTTTCATTTTACAACAGAGAACACCTTCTCTCCAGCTGCTGCATCACCACAGCATCGTTCAACATCCTCTCCACAAACAACGGCTGCATCCCATCATCACTCAATAGCCTCTCCACCAACATGTGGCACTGGAAGATCCCAGAATCCCATCTATGACAATGCAGCTATCAGTGATACGTCCCTGAATGCCAATGATGAGTGCCGCATACACACAAACATCGATTACGACCGGGTCACACTAGCTGCTGCATCTCATCATCATCCAGCAGCCTCTCCACCACCACCAACATGTGGCACCGGAAGAACCCACAACCCCATCTATGACAATGCAGCTATCAGTAATACGCCCCTGAATGCCAAGGATGGGTCACGTATACCATTCAGCAGTGATCATCAAGGACCTTCCGCGCATGCATATGACTATCTTGCTTCGTCACCAGATCGACGTCACCAGACTCGCGGGGATGACACGGAGGCAACTGGCGTCGACACGTACAACCACGTCTCTTATGAAGCAAACCAGCCGAGATACAAGGGAGACTATAACACTGTCGTCACCAGAGAAGCGCCATCATCAGGTGTTGGGGAGACTGATGATGTTTACATACGACCGATTGTTGAAACCGACGCAAACATCAACGGATGACAATAATTCGATACTTATTATGCAATGTATGTACAATGCAGGATATGCATCTTCTGATATATATGTCAACAGAAAAAGATCCGGTAGGGAGTTTAAATAGCTAGGAAATATAAGCAATAGCGGTGTAAAATACAACTCAGTCACTTATCAGAGAGAATCAAAACGTCATGAAATACTGAATTGATGTGTCAACTAGACGAATTGGTTCATTGCAGCCAATACCTCGGTTAATTACAATCCAATATTGACAAACAATAATATATATAAGTTCTAATGTAATATTTGTTTCAAAATTTGACCCAAAGCGTGAGACACGCCTATATGTTTATGTTTAATCACCCCTTCACGAACAGCTGGGGTCATCACTGTTTGATAGTGATTCCTAAATACATAGCTGGACTGCTTTTAGTAGAGATATCAAATTTACACCAAGTAAACATTTATTATGCACTATTTATGATGTGGTCAGATACTGAATATAACAACTGCATATCTAGATGCCTTTTCTCTTGACTTCCTGCTGATGTTCACACGCACACACACACGCACACACACGCACACACACACACACACACACACACACACACACACACACACACACACACACACACACACACACACACACACACACACACACACACACACACACACACACACACACACACACACACACACACACACACACACACACACACACACACTTAAACATTTCCAACACTGTCACAGACTAATTTCACGTTGGAGCCGTGTATTTTCGTTTAGATTGATATTTGTCGATTCAAGGACAGTCAACCAGTGGTTGATAGCACGAGCATGTTATCAATGCCGTCAGATTAGAGTCAGCCAGACATTTTGACCACTGGATCCCCATTTCAATCGGTTCTTGCGACAAGCATGGCATTCCAGGGCCCATCTGAGTCATGAATGACAATTCGATATTGTTTGTGACATTACATTTCTGTGAAATTATAATGTAACAATGATATATCATTTGTTGGGTTTCTTTCCATAAACTAGTTTCACTTTTTTTGTACAATTCGTATAAATATTTTTCTATATAGTCTGACATATATATCTTTTTTTTAAATAAAGCGTTATTTAATGCATCGCTGTGTTATTAATCTGCATTTGTTTACAATTTATAAACCTATCATGGTGTGGTAACCATCTCCCAGACGACCTTTCTTTTGTAGTAAGACCACTTTACAATTGCTCCTCAGGTTTTACAATTGCTCCCCAGGTTTTACAATTGCAATTGTAAAACCTGGGGAGCAATTGTAAAACCTGTCGTGAAATCCGTCATCGTCAGACATCCTCTCTTGTGAACAGTCAACGACACAATGCCATGTGGTACGACGCACGCGGTTCCTTCTGCACGTACAGCCCTCTTCTGCACGTGCAGTCCGCGCAGCGTCCCGCGATAACAACTGTTATAAAGCGTGTCTCGTTATACCGCGCTTATTTGCGACCCGTATACCGCGTAAATATAAGCTCCAAAAATGACATAGATTAATGGATAGCGGTTTATAAGTTGGACAAACCATTCCACCTCAGGAATTGTATGATTGTATAACCGGGTAGGCACAGAAAAGCCGAGGACGCGTAGTAAACGTAGGACGTAGCTTTTCTGTGCCTACCTGTGCCTACCCGGTTATACAATCATACCATTCCTGAGGTGTCATGGTTTCTCCATTACATATAACTACAGAAAATGTACATGTGTATAGGGAATAAGTATCCCTGCTAAAGATTTCAAAGTTTTATGGTAGACATGTGGGGGACATTGCCAAATCTGACGCATCAGTGACAAGAATGATGGCCTATTTTGACCTGTACCATATGTTCCCGTGGGTTTTAGTCAGGTGAAAAGTTTACTTTCTTTTGCATGTGTTTGTGACGGATAGTCTCACCTTTTGGCAAACACAAACACCTGGAACCATCACTATTTGATAGTGATTCATAAACACATGCCAATGTCAACCTATTGTTCTCACGACGTCACATACAATTTCTGTGAAATAGAAAATAATGCGTGTGGTAACGTCATCTACACTCGTCACCGACACTCGAACGAACTCATTCGTGACCAACTGGTGTTATTCCGAGACAAGCCGAATAGCGACTCGTGCCCCTCTCATGGCCATTTTTGCGACCGTTGAGAAAAGACAAAACGCTTTCGAAATGATACACGAAAATCACAGCTGAAGCTGCGGAAGGAACACAGGGAACAGGGGAGGGACCTACTTGTTATTTCCCCAGTACTACAAAGATTATGCTGGACTGTTGAGTGCAGATGATGCCACCATATCTACAGGTTCTGTAGTTTTGTTTTGTGTGTGGGTCGTGTAAGCCCAACACACCATCTACAACTCTCTTAAGGCCGAGAGGTACGACATGTCTGGGGTCAATTGGAGCGACAACCCAAGCTTTGGTACTCACATTCTTTGTATACCTGAGATCTGCTTCATACTGGTTTCCATCGGGTTTAAAATGGGGAGCCCTAGTATAACACGTTGTATAACAAGACACCTACTGCTGCCATGTAACAAGACACCTACTGCTGCCATGTAACAAGCCCCCTACTGCTGCCATGTAATAAGACAACTACTGCTGCAATGTAACAAGACACCTACTGCTGCCATGTAACAAGACACCTACTGCTACCATGTGAGAAGACAACTACTGCTGCCATGTAACAAGACAACTACTGCTGCAATGTAACAAGACACCTACTGCTGCCATGTAACAAGACACCTACTGCTGCCATGTAACAAGACCCTACTGCTGCCATGTAACAAGACACCTACTGCTGCCATGTAACAAGACACCTACTGCTGCCATGTAACAAGACACCTACTGCTGCCATGTAACAAGACAACTACTGCTGCCATGTAACAAGACACCTACTGCTGCCGTGTACTAAGACACCTACTGCTGCAATGTAACAAGACACCTACTGCTGCCATGTAACAAGACACCTACTGCTGCCATGTAACAAGATACCTACTGCTGCCATGTAACAAGACACCTACTGCTGCCATGTAACAAGACACCTACTGCTGCCATGTAACAAGACACCTACTGCTGCCATGTAACAAGACACCTACTGCTGCCATGTAACAAGACACCTACTGCTGCCATGTAACAAGACACCTACTGCTGCCATGTAACAAGACACCTACTGCTGCCATGTAACAAGACACCTATTGCTGCCATGTAACAAGACACCTACTGCTGCCATGTAATAAGACCCTACTGCTGCCATGTAACAAGACACCTACTGCTGCCATGTAACAAGACACCTACTGCTGCCATGTGACAAGACAACTACTGCTGCCATGTAACAAGACACCTACTGCTGCCGTGTACTAAGACACCTACTGCTGCCATGTAACAAGACACCTACTGCTGCCATGTAACAAGACACCTACTGCTGCCATGTAACAAGACACCTACTGCTGCCATGTAACAAGACACCTACTGCTGCCATGTAACAAGATACCTACTGCTGCCATGTAACAAGACACCTACTGCTGCTACCATGATGCTCTGTACATCTTGAATCACATATGCGTTAACATATCTGACACACACGGAAAGGATTGGGCAGTTTGATCGCCCTCTACCGTAGACTTACAAGTATGCTTGTTTACAATTAATAAATTAAACGAAGAAAGAAGATAAATAGAGAAACGTATGTTCATTAACAGTGCTCACTCAGACCTTTTTCTTTTCTGTGTATATATAGATAGATATAGATGGATAGATGGATGGATGGGTGGATAGACAGATTATAAATGGTTTCGTTATATGATTATGTAATGATACACTACAAACCATTCCTATTACGTATGACAGAATTCGAGACTGATTATTCTCTGGGGATGGCGTTTTGAATTTATTGATTGACATCGCAGGATTTACCATGAACGTAAGGCAGATACTCCGAATAAAACATACTGGGACAGGACGAATATAAGAAAAGAGACTACAAAGACAGGAAGATAAGTTAGCTATGTGTTTGTTTTTGAGGTGTGTGTGGAACTTTGCTGTCACTATGTTTACACGGGAACAGCGGGTGATCCTGCGTACTCAACCACATGCTCTCTGTTGATAAAACTCTTGATTTATTCGTCTAATATCGGCTTAAACAAACAACGCTTGCTGGCACCCGGGACGTAAATCACCACCATCATGAGACGTCTCAGAGCGTAGCCAATGCTTTAATAATATAATAAAAAATAATCTAAAACCGAAATACGTATAGTTACACGAATATAGGAACATGCCAATGAGACGTCAACACACATGTACCATTCAAACACTATCAAACAATATACATGTGTATTACAAATACAAATGAACATTTCAAATAGAAAACAAATTATAACTTAATTGTCATCACCTTAATGGTTTTTTGACAATCGCAGGTTAATAATCTCTGTATATATACAAACGGGCCGATGATGCAAATATACATATACATATTCTGTTCACATTATACAACCCAGATTGTGCTTGGCCCTTTAGATCTGACATTCCTACGTCTCTACATTCCCTACCCTAGAGAGATATTTATTAATAGCTCAGATACCTGACGCCCGGTTTCGGCTGATATTGACCAGAGATTTGATTTCTGTGAAAGCGGCCATCTATAAAGGCAACTGAGATATCACTTATTGTATTGTTATCGCTTATTTCAATATTGCCAATTGCAACTACCTGGCGCAGAAACATATGGCGTCTACTGGGGACATACATGCAGGATGTTTGCCCTGTTGGACGATGGCCATTGCTACCATCCTCCTTGTTTGTGACAGTATTGTACTTGCCGATCAACTGAGTGAGTATGACATTTTATTACGTTGGAATATTTTACATACAGATTTCAAACAGAACATTGTGATGTTGTGCTATAATATAGTGAACATGTATATAGTAATTCCCCCTGTATACTGTCCCCACCTCTTACATTTATTTTAATATAGTTACAACGCAAAAGAGAACGCCATTGTTGTTTAGGAAAATTAGGAAAAACATATACACATCTGTCGCTTTATTAAGGTAATATGCTAATATACCAGAAATCGCATATACTAAATAATAAATAATAATCTCATATAATAAAGTATCATATAAATATAAATACATAACGAAACGTCGACGCCAGAGAATGCCCAGTTTCAAATATCCGCCGAAACAGATTCTGGGCGTAAAAGGCAAAAGAGCCGTAGAAATTATATGAATGGATCACTGAACATCAGTGATGATACTATGATGTTCCCCATAAAGGTAAGCATGTCCTGCCCTACCAGCAGCACCACCCACTAGCGTTAATTTGCATATCGTGTCAATTTTCTCATGTACTGTTACAAATACAGTGGAATTTGAAGTGCTTGGGACCTCTGCAAATATATCGAGTTATCCAAAGCTCAAGAATGTTTTTTGATTGATATCTAATTAGATACCTATTGTATTTAGTATTGATCCATCAAATAAAATAGCGTTTGATTTAATATACAGTGTTGTCTATTCATTCTCCCATTGTTAAAGATTCCGATATTTTATATCACATTACAATCTTAATGACAGATTTATAATATTACATTATATAGAATTCGCATTATGGAGTGAGTGAGTGAATATGGTTTTACGTTGCTTTTAGCAATATTCCAGCAATATCACGGCGGGGGACACCAGAAATGGGCTTCACACATAGTACCCATGTCGGGAATCGAACCCAGGTCTTCGGCGTGACATATATTAACCACTAGGCTACCCGACCGCCCCTCGCATTATGGCATAAACTGGTCTTTTACAGAAACTATTGAGTTCAGAGCAAATATGTTTGATATGTTAGCTGGAAATATTGCAGTTTACTTTGAATCCTACCGACTTTCATATCATTTGTTAGTTGAATCAGTGGCATTATCTTTATGTGAACTTTGTCCTAAACAACAATTACGATAACAATTCACTTTGAAGAGATAGTCAGTATGTTCGATTGTTAATTGGGTTGTTTTCTGTTTTACTCAAGTCAAACACCTTGGATGTTGCTGGAATATTGCTGACTGTATTGTCAAACAACATTCACTCACTCAGTCAAATTCCATTTGTTAGTTTACATAATTGCTGTTGCATGAAGAGCCAAATTCGAAGTTGGACCTGACACTTCAAGTTTTGAACGAATTCACTATGAGCTAATTCGGACTACAAATTGATCGGTTGTGATTATTTAACTGCCTTTACCCTTTTCGAGATAGTGTCCCAGTATCTTGGAACAGGAAGAAGTGTTTCATCAATGTAAAGTGAACACTTTATGCTAGATTGCTAGTTTTAAAGAGTTATTTTAAACTAGTGACAATAAAAATGTCTTCTGAAGCACCATTTCGAACCTGTCTTTTAATATATTAAAATCAGACCAGATTTGGTTATGTCTATTGTTGGAATATCGTATCAGACAAAAGGAATAGATTACTAGTTTTAAACATTTATAAGTAAAAAGTGGTGAAACATATTTCTCATCTATTAAGTATCTTTATCAACAATAAAAAAAATTAATCAACATTTCGTATTGATCGAATTTTTGATCGAATACATGTACATGGTAATGTCCAAAAAATGTCATTTGAAACATAAAAATATATTTTTAACGAAAACACGACAGAAACACAAATGTGAGTTATGACAGTCACGAGAGACAGTGGGGTAGCTTAGTGATTAAAGTGTTAGCTTCCACGCCGAATGTGTGGGTTCGATTCTTCACATGGGTACACCCATATCCGGTGTTTACGACTTGGTCATCCAGACATATTGCTAAATGTGGTATGAAACAACAATACAGTCAAGCAGAACTTTATATCACATCGTTTCCTGTGTCAATTCTTTCTGTGTCGTTTATTTGCTGAAGAATTTTCAGCTTTCGGAATGGATCCTACAGCCAGTAATGACAATGCAATGAACAGAATCCTCACTACGAATCAAAGCTGGTGGGATGCACAGCGGGAGTGTTCCCTTCTAGGGGGAAATATGTATGTACCACCATCACAGAGCATCCCCGAAGACATCATCAGACAGCTTCATGTCAATGTACCCTACTGGGTGGGTGCGATTACATACCCCAACTGGATCTGGACAAGTATGTCGACACATTCTGAAAGGGAAAAGTTCCCGCGATCATGAAAGTATTTATTACATTGAATGTTTTATGACACGACAACCTGTTTTATTAAGGACAGCGCATGCTGCATTAGGAATTTTGATAAATTAAAATTCAAGCAACGTCAAATTCTGCCGATCAAGTTATGTTTGTTTTAAAATAAAGGCGAAATATTTTGTTATTTTTACTCTTAAAAGAGAAAGTCGACCAGTTTGTAATGGAAAGAAATTTTGAGATGTAAGCCCAATATCTAGTAAAACGGCATTATGATACTCTTGATTTTAATCAATCTGTAAAACCATATTTTGCTTATGAAAACTATTTTTCCAAATTTTACACACCGTTCAAAACTGTATAACATTGCTTTGAGAGCAAGCATCTATGTTTATTTCATATAAAGAATATCAGTGTATTACTGACGATTAAATAAGATTGAAAATGCCATCGCGAATTAATAAAGGAAATCCAATGTCTAAAGACTCCTCTCCTCTGCAACTGATGTTACTTAATACTGCCAATGTACTGCTTCAGGAGACCATTCCCCACTGTACAGCTACATGGGGTACCGGAGACTCACTCTGAAGGACAATAAGACAAACGTAGATGGCAATTCAGCTGTAGCATGTCATCAGCACTGCAGGGAACAGCATACAGTGCTTGGTCTTCGGGTGAGTGACTGAATAAATCTCTACCTTCACGACTGGCGCTATATTTATTCTACAATTTGTAATGATTACTCACAGCGAATTAAACATACCTCGAGTTGTTGATAACATTTGCTGAAGCCAGGGAGTTCAATTGGAACTATTAATTAATAGACAGTCATACACACAGTAGTTTTCTTCCAAACTACGGTTATAACGAACTCAAAGGGACCGCTAATTTTAGTTCGTTATAACCTTAATTCGTTACAAACATATACACAGCATACATACAGCAAATTGCCGGGACTAAAAAAACAGTTCGTTATATCCATCAGTTGGTTATAAGCGTGTTCGTTATAAACGTAGTTTACTGTACATGAAATGCAAAGAGGCACATTCAGGTGTGTTAAATATTTTCTTGACTTTGTAATTGATGATGAGTATTTGATTTCCCTAGTGAAAGTGATTAATTTTGTAGACCTCTTGGTAGTTACGACTTTTCTTTAAATGATATTTCTTCCCTATTTTACATAATTACGTGAGGAGTGTACTATATTTTTGGCTCTGTACTTAAGCCATAAGTATGTGTACGCCTGTAGTGAGTACCTCCCTCGTGTTTAGTTAAGGGTGTACATCCTCTGCACGCCTTCACCAATAAAAACAAACTATTCTAAATGCTAATTGCTTGCCTAGATAACCTACATGCATTTACTTGACGCTGATTCACAATGCGTTAGTATCTCTACGACTGTTGTATCTGTGCTATCAAACTAGACGGAAGCACTGTGGCCACTGTGGATCTGAACCTAGTGCAATAGCGACCAGGGTTTGTTATCCGGTTTGTGTCATGCGCCTGGCTTCGATTTAAATAAATTTATAGCTGTTACGATATTGACAATAGCCTTCCAACTAATGCTACAGATAAATCAAGATATTGCACACATTACTGCGTTGTCACGCTGAATGCTGGTGCGTTGTCGCGCTGAATGCTGGTGCGTTGGTGCCACGTTTGTCTTGTCTGACAAATACTTCTGCGCATGACCCATTGACCATTGACCATTGACCATGAGGGAAACGTCTATTTTTTAGCATTTACAGGATACTTACATACATACACTCCAAGATGAATATAAGGTTGACATGGACTCTAAAGTCTTTCTTCTTCGGTGTTCTTTCAATGCGACGTCTCGGTACAGATGCCAGTAACTTTATGAAGCATGAATAACTAAGTGGCAATCCATCTTCGTTGATAATACGGCTTCTAAATGTCACATTATTTAAGAAATATACGACGAGTGGCAGTTGTTTGTCCTACATTAAAAAAACACTGCGGGGACAATAAACAATGAGGGGCACAGCCCCGAGCGGTTTATCCTTCCTGCAGCGTTTTATTGTACGATAAACAACGACCACTAGTCGTTTATTTCTAATATGAGATATCAGTATTATGTACATCCTCTTTAAGCAGGTTACTGAAATGTACAAGCTTTAAACTATTTAAACATATTTAAGTAATGATCACTCCCTGAATAGAACCCGACCTCGACAATGTCGGACAAGTCGATTTTATGAACAGGTGGGTTAAATTTGTATTTTCCCGCATATACTCACATTTTTCACGTCGATTATCTGTACCTTTTCCCAATGCAGATTGTCATATCATATCTACTTTTAGCCATTGTGTTTATCTACGTTGCCAAGCTACATCTATGAGCAACAACTCACGTGACACTTCCCCCTAAAAAAAACGGTGTCAAGATGCGAGCGCATGTTCGAGTCTCTATAAATGACGTCATGATAGAGCAATGTTTTATCGTGAAATAAACCACGCTTCGCTCTTTATTGTTCTTCGCGATTAATCGGGTAGATATCTTTTATTAACCGATATTACACAGATGCTGACATAACGTGCTGTTCACCAGAACGTGGGTGACATTGTTCTAAAATACCAGTGATGTTGGATCTTACAGGGAGACGGGTGCTATTGTCTCGGTAACTGGTTGAACAGTAATGACTTGTCATCAAAGAGAGCATCTGAAGTGCGGTGTCCCGGGAACTATGAGGAATTCTGCGGAAATGACAACGGGGTGTCGGTGTACAGAATGGGTAATACTACCATTTCTTTTCTTTTCGACGTCAGAAAAATGAATAACTGAATATCTTCGCGTAATATGCGTCCAAAATGCGTTCCTTTGCTCAAGTTATAGTGCTTCTGTTCTGTTCCGTGTACCTAATGACTGACAGTAATAAATTACAGTCGATCATGCTCTTTCCATGACGATTTCGGGCGGTCGGGTAGCCTAGTGGTTAAAGCGTTCGCTCGTCACGCCGAAGACCCGGGTTCGATTCCCGACATGGGTACAGTGTGTGAAGCCCATTTCTGGTGTCCCCCGCCGTGATATTGCTGGAATATTGTTAAAAGCGGCGTAAAACCATATTCACTCACTCACCCATGATAATTTCAAAGAGCATCATGCGACTCGTGATCAAAAGCTGTTTCGTCAGAATTACAACATGCAAGGACTTTCAAAATGGTTTATGGTAGACGTGTAGAGGACATTTCTAAATTTGGCGCACCGGTACCCTAAATGATATCCAATTTTGCGTTTTACCATATGCCCCTGTGTTTGTTCAGGTGAACACTTGACTTGCCTTTGGATGTATTTGTGACGGGTGCACACCATTCATAAGCATAATGCTTATGATGCAGTTGGATATATCGCTTCTGTATATACATGTGGTTACAACGTAAAAAGAAAAACGAAAGTTAATATTCTACCTCCGCAGAATGAAGGCCTTACACCTAATTCTTCTTAAATCAATCCCCATTCAATGTATATGATTTCTTGCATTAGGTGCGTTTTGCATTGAGGCGCGCTTTGGTCTTGGAATATAATTACTGATGGTAGAAGTGTTTGTATACATGAATGTTTCGTGAATAGAAAACGTCAACGTTGTACCCCTCCCAACGAGCGGATGCTGCTATGTTGGCGTGAACAGAGATCGACCAAGGGTTGACAACTTGTTCCACATCCGATATCGCGGCACAACGTACTACCCATATCTCAAGTGTGACAGCGCTTGTGATGTCCGCCGGAGAATGTCGGCATGTGAGAAGAACTCTGTGACAAGTTCTGGAAGTAAGACAGCTATGAATGGGTTGAAATATGTCTGGAATAAACTTTAGGGCTGGTCAAAATTAACTACCCGAGTACCCACCCCGCTATTATCTGACCCTACCCTGGTACCCGCTGTAGGTCTCAGGAGATAGGTACAAACTGTCCGATTGGGAAAAGTTTGACCGTAGTCCTGGCAAAATAGTTAGATACACGTATAAAACGATCTAGTCATGCATATGCACTGATGTTTACTGAAGTTTTATCTTTTTTTCAAAGATATAAAAGGGAGAAGGAATACGTGCATAGTCAGAAAGAAATGGGAACAGAAGTAGTGTGACCATAGAGTTTTAGATAAGTTTTGTCATTAAAAAATATATCACGTGACTAACCACGGGTCCGGGTAGTCCTGTGGGTACCCGGGTCCTGCTCAGTACCCACTCGACCCGAGTACCCGAGTTACCCGCCCCAGCGCTAATGTACGATATTGCGTGCATGATTGTTCCAACGAAATGTTCATGTGCAATTGCACCCATGATGTTGTTATCATGATTCAGTTTTAATGTGTACATCTAATGTTAATCACCCGTGAAGATCCGGGGTCGAATACGTCTTCAGCAACCAATGCCTGCTGTAAAAGGCGACTATGTTTGTCGTAAGAGGCGACTAACTGGATCGGGTGGTCAGGCTCGCTGACTTGGTTGATTCATGTCATCGTATCCAAATTGCGTAGATCGATGCTCATGATGTCAATCACTGGATTGTCTGCTCCAGACTCGATAATTTACAGACCAACGTTATATACCTGGAATATTGCTAGGTGCGGCGTTAAACATCAAACAACCAAATTTGATGTTAATATGTATTTACACTAAGTCATATTACTCTTGCAAAATATGAAAATATATAATATTATAATAACTTTCTGTGATATCGAGTAAGTGAGTGTGGGGGTGAATGAAAGACTGGGTGTGGTTGGTGGGATGGGGTAGGGTAGGTAGGGGCAGTTCAATGAGTGAGTGAGTGAGTGAGTGAGTGAGTGAATGGTTGAGTGACCGTGTGTGTGTGTGTGTATGGTGGGGGTGGGGGTGGGGGTGGGGGGTGGAGGGGATTCAGTCACTGAGTGAGTGAGGGTGAGTGAGCGAGCGAGTAGTTTACGGTGCTTTGAACTGCAGCATAGTAATTTAACGGTGTGTCAGTTGAAAGTAGAAGAAAAGTGATGTCGGTGTCAGACCCACGAGCACGGGTTTGATACTGACAAACATATCGTCAAAATCAATGGAAATGTGGGACTCGAACCTACGCTCTTCGCAGCAAAGTTAAGGGTTGTTGTACTTCTCTCGCAATAGCTTCGAAGAATGTTTGACATTGTTTGAAGATAGACGACATCGCCGTTATATCGGGTTGTGTGTATGTTTACAGACCCGCAATGCGAAGGTAAAGTATGCTTAAGGTATGTGCGCAGATCCTGGGTGGCCTCGAACACAGAATGCTCGTTGATCAAAGTGACAGCTGAGAACGCCGGAAACCTTACACTAGCGATGGTGTCAAGGCCCCAGGACATATATCAACAATACTGGGTCGGTCTGGAGCGAGAGTCGGTGAGGAAATGGGTCGATGGTAAGTAGAGACACTTGGCGTATACTATTCGAAATCAAGCTGATGTGAAACTAATATATAGGGCAAGACATGTAACCAATAACGTAATTAGATTACATATTGTGGATTCTAGATACGTATATACATAGGAGGTGAGGTGAAATGGGGTTTAACGTCGCGTCCAAGATTGTTGCACGTGTGTGTGTTGTGTGGCTGCGTGTACGAGACTGATGCCGATTTATAGTGCTAGCCCACTGACATACGTAATCATGCCACAGTTTAACATGGATATCCCACTCAGACACAGTATACTGACTCCGAGCCGACCAGTCCTTGTTTTAGTTCCTTAATGCCGAGCGCCAGACAGGGTAACAACAAGTACCATCTTTTAACGTCATTTGGTATGACGCGGTCGGGGATCGAACCCCGGACCTTCCGCACTCCGGGCGGACGCTCTACCACTAGACCACGGTGGCGGTCTTCAACCAGTCAAGACGATCTGATCGATAATCAAGATCAATATTGTAATAAAACGCGTATTACCTCGCGAAGTGCATGAAATCATTTGTACACCATGATTAAAGACATGAAAGGTTTGGGGAAACATATGTCGACGCCCAGTTGTCGGGGCACATGCTTGGCAAATCCTGCAACCGACTGAAATCTACACGGCAGTCGTCATGTTGTTTTAAGAGTGAGTGAGTGAGTGAGTAAATAAATTGTGACGTCGCATCGGCATATGTTCTACCATATAGCCTTTTAAAAACAATTTTTTCAAACATATTTTGCCATAACAATATTATTTACAACTGTTTAAAACACGGGCTATAATGACAGGTGTTCGGGGAACGGTCAGGCATAACAGGTCTCTACAGACGTCTAGGCTGTATTAGTTGTTTTAAGAGCAGCATGTCGATTTCGTTGCGCAATATTCATTGGACGATACATAGGGTCGTTTGTCCAGCCAAAATATAATTCAGAAAGTTCAGTCTAGTTCGGCAAGGGTGGAAACTGGACTTTTATAGTCAGTAAACTCCCTTGCCTCGGGAAGATGCCGAATATATTGTACAGTGAATAAACTGTCGATACATATTTGAAATACCTTGGCATCCATTTTATGTTACAACAACAAAATCAGTCGTTTATTTATATTTATATTTATTTGTCTTTTTTTCAGGTAACCAAGTGATTTTGCCTTCAGTCCTCTTTAGTGGTGAATCTAGTACTCTTCCAAAATGCCTTGCTGTAGGCAAGACTTCATCTACGCCGGCCATTTTCTTTTGGATTGAATGCTCCAAACGCTACGGGTCTGTCTGTGAAGGTTGTAAGTGTTTTAAACTTTTCATTTTAAAGACAAAATCACAATGTACGTAACATGCTTATGCTTATCTTTATCAATGTTAATTTCGTTCATACCTTATGGCGTATGTTGTATAACAGTTAAGGTATTATCTTTGTCAATAGAATTTATGTATTGTCATAATGTTGTGTCTTTATAACGGTTGACTCAATTCGCGTTTCTATTCTTTTATTTATAGATACGTCTTCACCACGGCTATTCCTATATTGTGGACAATTAAGACCACTTTGCATTTTCTGATTTTACAAAACGAGTGAAAGCATTACTTGCATTTCAAGAGTGAGAGCATTTATGTTAACAAATACTTGATCCAAGTAAAACTAAGATGCGTTTCTCTTCCTGATGAAACGACGAGAAAAAAGAGAACATTCATGTTAATACATACTGTATATATTATCTGTTCTTAGTAAAATTAGGACCATCAACTGTGGCGCCCAGCACAGGTGTGACACCTACAGCACGTGTTACCTCAATAAGAAACACAACAACGCCTACCAGTCACAAAACCCATCCGTCGACCACATATAACACCACGCTGTTGTACCTGGTGACTGACACTGCTGGACACAAATCTCAGAATATTGGTAAATATTCCATATTGCGATACAAGATAATTCATTATTTGCATTTTGTCCATTCCATGGAGTTTATGCAAATGTTCTGCGACTGCCATAAGGATGGTGACTGACAATGTTGGACACAAATCTCTGAATATTGGGGGCGGCGGTCGGGTAGCCTAGTGGTTAAAGCGTTCGTTCGTCACGCCGAAGACCCGGGTTGGATTCCCGACATGGGTACAATGTGTGAAGCCCATTTTTGGTGTCCCCCGCCGTGATATTGCTGGAATATTGCCAAAAGCGGCGTAAAACCATACTCACTCACTCTGAATATTGGTAAATATTCCATACAAGATTGCGACACAATTAGTTATTTGTATTTTGTTCTTTCCATGAGAGTTTATAAACATATTCACAGATTACCATAAGGAGTTTACGTTGTGTACACATGTAGGAGTAAACAGCCACCTTTTATTAAATATAATAAGTGCATTTGTTTGGCGCTGTTTTCCATCGTGGTTGCTCAAAGCGCACTTTTTACCGTGGTCAATGGATCAGTGTGCACACAATAATCATTCTCAGCTCCCTGGGGATTATACAACCCAGGCTGCGTGCGAGGTTAGCCATCTCATCCTGGCGGGTATATAACACCATAGACACGTGCTACATGAGAGCCTTGACGTCTAACTGTGGAGACCTGTTATGCGTAACCGTTCCCCGAACACTGTTGCCATTGCAGCTTTACAGTGACTCGTGAATGTAAGTTCTTCAAGCTGTAGCTTTCAGTTTGTTTTGACTCAGTTCCTTGAGGGTAGCCTAGTGGTGAAAGTGATGTCTTGGGACGTCGAAGACCGGCTTCGAATCCCGCATGGGTACAATTTGTGTTGCCCATTTCTTCTGTCCGTTCGCAATGACTGGAGTATTGCTAAAATCGGCGTAAAACTCACTAACTGTTCCTATACTTGAGACAGATATACCATTACACTATTCCTAAGGTATTACGTTATAACTGAAACATCTTACATATTTAACTGAAGCTTTTCATCGAACGGTTCTCTGAACATAAGAGATTATTAATAAATATTGATAAATTGATCTGAACTGATAGGTTTTGAATTTGTACTTTTAACTACATACATTGTTTGTGGTATCATGTATCATGTAACTTTATATACATCTGTTTTTGTATAAATACCAGAGTACAGTATTGCGTACTGTGCTATGGAGAAGGGCGTGAGGATGTGCCAACATCAATGAATTGTTGTATCCCTGGTAGATTATTCGAATTTACATCACAGTTTTGATAAGAGTGAGTGAGTAAGTTGGGTTTAACTCCGCTTTGAAAGTATTACAGTTATATCACAGGGTGGCAGCTTGATGTGGGAGAAAATTCAGGAGTAATGCACGTTTACAACGGTGGTGAAACCCAAACGCACATGTGTTGCTGTTGACCTGAAGGGACGCAAGTCCCAGCGAATTGCTGCTCCTTGACTTGGAAACCCATGCCCCCAGTTTAAATAAGATGGATGTTTGTCTTTCAGGTGTCTACGTGGGCGTTGTCATTGGAAGTTTGGTATTGCTATCTGGCGTCATGGTTCTGGTATTCACATACAGGTACACCAACTCCAATAGGATGACCGTAGTGTACTTAAAGGCAATGATCATACATGTAATCATAAATATAGAATAACAACCATGATCAATCTCCTGAGTACACAACGACGACTTGTAAAGACAGACGAGGGTAGTTTAATGCCGTTTTATAATGTAAATTGGAGTAAAAAAAGAGAGCTACTCTCCATATTTTCTCCACTCTCAAATTTCTATCTAATGGGCAATAATCAGTCATTTGAACTAATTGAACACCAATACACTTAAGACAGAAAAGAGGCGTTTTAAGTCACAACGTATGCGCTTCTAAACAGAGCAATATTAAAATTGAAATTATCATTGTTGATATTGATAGTATAACACTCCCTCGACCATATATATCAGAGTGATTCGTAAAGTCATAGGATACAAATGTCTTATCTAAAACGTACGTCAACCCAACACATACAACACGTCAGTTTCATTTATTATAAAACAGAGAAGAACGGTGTACGGAAGGGTAACCGCATATATACTAGTACGTCATAATGTATACAGCTTCCTTGTAAGGTACTGTATTGGTTCCTGTCGTTTCAAGGGCAGTGACATGTTATTACAATATTTAAACCTCCTCCATCGTTTACTGTAAACCTAATTCAACTCTCCTTTTCCAAGCTTATGGTAAATTGTCGTAGATCTATAGAACATATATTGATTAATAATTATATATTTTAAATTGCCTGTAAAATGGTAGGAAAATGACTTCAGATATATTTCAGAATGAAGAGGTTGTGCTTCCGAGCCAAACTAACGGTTACAAATGGTCAAACGATAGGCTTCAATGCATCAGCAGCCAATGCCACATACTCTGCAGCTACGGCCCTATCAGGAGACGATAATGACGGCTACGAGGTCCCGGTGCCTTTAGACACAAGCAGTTGGAACTCGCCATATTACTCCGCGGTTCCTATAGCAACAGTGAAACCGAACAGTCACATTCAAAAAGCGTTGTGGACGCGAAACAACAAGGACACAGAACAGGAGCTTTATTGCAATATCAAGTCTGAAAACGACGGGCGTGATCAGCCGGAGAGGTTATCAGGCTGTTTTAACCAAAAGCCGGACAAGGACTGTTATGAAAACATAATTTTACAATCGGGTGGACAAGAGGAAACAGAGGAGAACATACAGGTCACCAGGGCAGTAAGACACTATCAGAATACGAATGAAGCAATGCATGATGGTTCTGGTGTAAAGGACGCTCACATGGATGGTGTAACAGTTGAGGACGACGATGGCATATATCAGCTTGCTGGGGAAGTAGATCAGATGGACGATAGATGCATGTATAAACTAGCGAGTGAACCAAACAGTGACAAGAGAGGGTCAGATGCTCCTTACAATACGCTTGGACAAAGAATGAACAATACTGCCACAAAGGAAGACTCTCACATGAACGTGTATGATCGTGTGACTAATACGTCAAGCCGAGATGGTTATGACACTATGACAAGACAAGCTCCCACCGCGATCAGCGACAACGTCTACAGTCATGCCGGAGACGTTGACGCTGATTTTAAACTGGATGGCGTTGACGACAGATACGACACTACACGAAGTCAGCCACAACGGCCGCGACCGGATGACTATAGTTATGCGCACGAATTAGATTTAGATGATGATTGTGGTGTGGATGGGGACTGGGAGATGGATGACGATACGTATCAGTATATCGAAGATGTGGAAGATCTCAGTGATGAAGAAACGTGTTACTACAATTTATCCTTCACAGCACAAGGGGGGAATAGTATGTCCACACCTAGTGGCACTGCAGGAGACGACGGTGTAAACAGTAGAGAAGGAATATCCGACGCTTGAAGTCCAAAGCGTTGTGGCTAACGTAAACAATATCACTGTTTGTTTGTTTGTTGTTGTTCAACGCCACACATATATTCCATCAATATGACGGTGTCCTGTAAATAATTGATCCTTTTGTTGTTCTAACCCGGAATTCTCACTGGAGATCTCCCTGATTTGAATCATAACTTTGAGTTGTGAATTACTTGATTTGCTTAGAATTTGATAGCAATGGATAATAAAACTCACAACTTTCGGTGTGCAAGTGAACATATATACATTGAAAAACGAAAGTAATAATTTATTGTGATTACATAAATGTATTAAAAACTGCAAGCTAATAATGATGATGATATTGACAAACAGTATATTACTTCACAGATTGGTCATTCTTCTACCTGTTTAGACTCCATGAGGACCCGTTTTATTATTATAGGCCACAAGCCATCTTTTGCTTGTCAAAAGAGGCGAGTAAATTGGTTCGGTCTTTTGTTGACTCCGTGGTGTAGTGGTAAAGTGTCTGTCCAGATAGCGGAAGGTCCGGGGTTCCATACCCAGGCCGCGTCATACCAAAATACATTAAAATATGGTACTTGTTGTTATCCTGCATGGCGCTCAGCATTAAGGGGATAAAACAAGGACTGGTCGGCTGTGAGTCAGTATACTGTGTCTGAGTGGGGTTAAACTGTTGCATGGTATCTCAGTTGGCTAGCACTATAAAATCGGCATTAGTTCGGACTAATACAAGCAGTTATACACGTTTAATCCACCAGAATGGCTGGTCCAGATTCTGGAGTTACAGGCCGCCGTGATGTTCCTCATATAGTGCTTACTGTGGCGTAAAACAACAAACAAGGACTTTGGGCAAGCCTGTCAAGACATTGCAATGAGTATTAGGGGTCTAAACGAAAGAGCAACCTCAAATGATTTTCCATTTCAAACAGATGTACGTCTCCAATGGACACAACAAGGAATTCACCATTTCAGTAAAAGAGCAAATGAAGTGTTAGGCAGTTTTTTGAAATGATATCACAAGTATTTGTTTTTAATAAGTATTTACTTGGTATATGCATGCTATATTCCTGTTATCAGCCGCCTCTTCGTTACATTGGAACACGCTTGTACAGCTTCTAGTTCTGGTATGCCCCGTTGTATAAATAGCGCAGTATCAGATGCTGAAGAACTGCAGTCTGTGGGAGAACTGTTGTAAATGACACAACGAAACACTGAGCTCCAATCAAGGGAAGATTTCCTTATCCGCTTCAGGGCGGTTTGTATGGTTCCCGGTGAGACAAGGACAACATCTTGCTGCATTGTTGAATTAGTATTACGAATTCCACATCAGGGCGTCGAAGCTTTTTGTGAGGATATACTCGTGTACAATTTTGATTATTCTATGCAAGGAAAATGCAGGATTGCGTTTCAACAAAACCATATGCTTTATATTAATGACAAACCCAGGTGACAGTCACGAGAAACAAATATCATCCTGAAGCACGGCCTCTTGACGTCGAATATAACCTCTCCCTTCGGTATTTATGGTGACGTGGCATTACGACAGCTAAATAAAGAAAATACAGCGTACATTTTGATTTTTTAATTATGTGCAGACAGGAAATAGAGAAATATATCCTTCTCATTTTGTGAACATAATGTACAGATTAAAATAAACAAATTGAGCAAAGAGGGTTTGGGTGATCCTGGCACAGTCAGGCTAGTTAGGCTCTTCAGCTCTGGGCTCTCAACACAAAGTCCAGACAGCAAAGAGGACTTCTCCCAGGAAGCGCTGCCTAGTCGAACCTAACATGAACTTTTGGGAGAATGTGAAGTCTCCACATCAATGAGCCTTCTGCATTGCATTGAGTACGCTGGCAGCAAACGCGGGTACTCTCCTAATATCAGTCAACAGATTGGGAGGTACCAAACCTAAGGCACCGGGGGCACGGGGAGGTATGGGGTTAGGTGGAGGTGGGAGGGGAGTCGTCTGAGTCGCCGTGATTCGCTGTGCAGAGTTGCGTCCCTAGGGCACGCTAGAAACCTATGATTGTGGGTTCGCATCCCGGTTCATCCCGATTATGTTTCTAGGTTTGTCAGCACCATACCCGTGTTCGTGGGTTCGTGATCGTGTTCGTGGTCGTCTGAGGCACTGCAATTCACTGTGCAGAGTTGTGTCCCTTTTGCACTCCAGAAAACCTAGGTCATTGGTTCAAATCCTTGTTCAAGTCGATTATGTTTCTAGGTTTGTCAGCAGAATACCTGTGCTCGTGGGTTTCACCGAAGTGGTAAACGTCTGAGACCTGCATCACTTCGGGCTTTCCTCCTAAGTTAAGCTGACACGCCGCGATATAACTGAAATTCAGTTCAAAGCGGCGTAAAACCCGACTCACTCACTCACCAAAGGCACCGAGAACAAAGGGGACTCGGACAACTTGGTACTATGGAACGTGACTTTTCGTAAATAAAAGCGACAAATCCTTTTCCATATTCATAAGAAATCTCTGCCAAATACAGAGTCGACTGTACGATTCCGACTACATCATGAGCATGTGTTTATGAATCACTATCAAATAGTGATAACACCAGGTGTTCGCGAAAAAATGAGCGTATCCCGAAACACCGGTTGCACCCGTCACAAACATATGCAAATGCAAGACACATATTCACCTGTAAAAGCACGGGAACATATGGTACAAGTCAAGATAGGGAACTGCATCGGACATCATACTTGTCACTGATGCGTCAGATTTGGAAATGTCCTCCACATGTCGAACACCATTAAACCTGCTGAAAACTTTTACTGAGGCCTTGAATGGTGTAGCCCTGTTAAAACAGCCTCTGGGCAAGAATCGTATGACGCTCCCTAATATGTTGGTAGAAAGAGTATGCTCGACCGGATAGGATAAGCAAAATATATTGTAAGGTTCGATCGGAAACGTATGGGTACAATAATAAAACAGAGCACAGAAAATAAACGATTTTTTGGCTAACTTGGTAGTAGATGGCGTTTAATAAAATGATATTGTGTCTGATCAAGGTCACTAGCAATAACCAGTGGGTCTATTTGGGTACCAACATGTACACAACCCGATGTCGATCGTGTTATTGGGGTATTTTATAACACTTCGTGGTGACATATAGATAGTTCTACTTTTACTCATGTGAGACTAAATCTCTAAATGGTTTTTCAGTTAACACAGTCAAGGTACCTATCTGTTTGTTAGTTTGTCGACAATTCATGTTTCAATATCGAATCCTATGATCATTATCCTTTTTCGGGTAGACCGCCTCCTTCGTCTAGAGCGTCTGTCCGGAGAGCGGAAGATCGGGGTTCGATCCCCTGTCACGTCGTACCAAAAGACGTTAAAAGTGGTACTTGTTGTTTCCCTACCTGGCGCTCGGCATCACTGTAACAAAACAAGGACTGGTCGGTTCGGAATAAGTATGCTGTGTCTGAGTGGGGCATTCATGTTAAACTGTGGCATGGCATATCAGTGGGCTGGCACTATGAACTTGCCCCCCCCCCCCCCCCCCCCCCACAGAGAGACACACACACACACACACACACACCACACCACACCACACCACACCACACCACACCACACCACACCACACCACACCACACCACACCACACCACACCACACCACACCACACCACACCACACCACACCACACCACACCACACCACACACACACACACACACACACACACACACACACACACACACACACACACACACACACACACACACGCAACGTTGCTAAATTCGTGCATAAATCGTGAACGCTAAATTCATGCATAAATCTTGAACGCGACGTTAAACCTATATCAGCTAACTAGGTTTTTAACATGACATACCAAAGTATTATTCAGTAATTTGAAAACGTTAACCACAATGTATACAGCTCTTGAGAGCGAAATATATTTATTGCACACACGACCACCGCCCAGACACAAATAATACATGTATCGCAAAACAAGGAGCACTATTTCGTTAACAAGTCATGTCTGGTAACAAAAAGCAGGGTTTATGTTCTATAATTACCTTATTCTACCAGAGCAATATCATGAACACCTGTTTACTACCAAACGATAGATGACGTTCTGGTTAATATGTAATTCTCTTGTCATTTAGTAAGGACCAGTCCATCGAAGGGTGTACTCATCTTCCAATGATTTCTCTTAACAATGGACATATTCTTGTTTGATTTCTTGTCTTTAAGTTACTGTCAAATGTGTTAACCCTAGCCTTTATTTATAGAAACAACGAATATTTTTGATTAAATTATCCGTAAATAAAGTTCATGTGTTTTACTGTTAGACGTTTGTTCGTAAATCAGGTTTGTTCTTGGTTTCAGAATAATTGGCCAACTCGGAAGGACAGACGGATGAAGAACGGGCCAGGAGCATCTGCTTCATGTCATAGAAGAGATAAGAATCTTCATCCGCCAGGAAGAAAATTTCAGCACCGTTTTTACCCTCTCGACCTGTCAGACCAGGACGACATACATATTCTCCAATAATCCTTCCCATGGTTTAACTAAGAACAGTTTTCACGTTGCCAATATTGATTCCTCTACTTGCAACAATTGTGGCGAACAATATGGATCCTTCTTTGTAACTTGTGACAGCAGATTCTCTCTGGGCCATGCACATACCTCCGTGAAGTGCTACAGCATTGAAGCCCCTTCCGTTCAGATACTCGGTGACAGCATCCGCCTTTTTCTTCAACGTAACGAAGATGACAACAGGTGGTTCAAGCCAGAATCTTAAGAAACGTTTCATTCTTCTGCTGCTCTGTCACCATGTAGACAATATGCTCTGTATGATCATCTCAAACTGAATGAATGTGTACCATGCACGGGTCACGAAGGAAGCTACGCGCAAAACGCTCCAGTGTTGGTGACATGGTTGATGTGAAAATGACAGTCTGGTGGTACTTCTTCCCATCCTCTTCAACATCCTCTGTTTTTGGCAGCTCTTTATACCCCGGTATTAAGTCAAGGATCCTACACAAATCAGACTCAAAGCCAAATTCTATCATACAATCGGTTTCATCCATCACAACAAATGTCCACTGGCTGAGAACAAGAGTACGTTTCTCCAGAGTATGAGCGAGTCGACCTGGCGTGGCTACTATAATCTCGCAACCCGAACCAAGCTGGAGGTTTTGCTCTTCACGAGTCATACCTCCGATAACTGTGGCGGTTCGGATGCCACTTGTTTCGCCAAACCTAAGACATTCGTCCGCCACCTGTCGAGCCACTTGACGTGTTGGTGTAAGAATAATAGCATAAGGGGCTTTGATCGAATCTTCCATCATCTCAAGCTTGGACAATCCTTGAATCCACGCGAAAAGAGGAATAAGTGCGGCGACTGTCTTCCCACTACCAGCAGGAGCAACACCAATAACATCCCTGTTTTGTAGACCAATTGGAATTGATTGCATCTGGATAGGAGTGGGTTTTTTGTATCCCCTTTTGTCAATAAACTCTCTTATTAACTTAGGAACTGAGAGGTCATTCCATGATCTCAAGGGACAGGGAATTCCTTCTCCTTTACACCTGATCTTATGGTCAGTTTTAAAGGTAAGCCAATCTCTTTGGCTCATATCCTCCAAAGATTTCTCAGACCAGTGACGGTCTTCCCGTCTCTGCTTAATTTCAGCATGTTCATCGAGTGACGGTGCTTCATGGTTCGAAGTTCTTTTTAGTTTGATCGAATAGTGTTTCCCACCTTCCTTGGCATGTTTAGCATTCCTGATCTCACCGTCCATACCTTCAGATGAGGTGACCTTTCTGTAAGTGACTCTGCTCCGACAACACGTGTGTTTCTGCTTCTACGTCCGTGACGGTCTCACTGACAGATCTACGTCTCTGATTGTTTCTACTTATCGATCTGCATACATGATCCGTGTTCGCTCTCGATATATTACCCCTACCTTATAACCAATGTCTTCAACATACCTCTCACCAGGCCCTCAGTGTTCTATATAATATCCGTGCTTGATGCGGCGAATAGAGATTTACGCTACCGTCTTTCCTTATATCTGAGATACTCTGAACGCTGTATGTTCGTAGCATAACGCTAGCCATACGTTTCGGCAATCGATACTGTAGTCAAGGGTGACTGTCTATACACACACACGCACGCAGCCATGATAGACTCGGTGCTTACAACACAATAGTGCAATTGTACGCTATATTTATATCTGAAAGAGACCCGTCCAGCGTCAATACGTGGCGATCAATGTCTACATAAGGTCGTATATATACCTACATGTAGCTATACATAGTGATACATGCACACCCAGGTTGTGTGTATACATCGTAGTTATATTAGTAATACATGCACAACCAGAATGTCAGTATACAACGTAGCTATAAATAGTGACATATGCAGCCCCAAGATGTCAGTATACAACGTAGCTATATATAGTGATACATGCACACCGAAAATGTTAGTATACAACGAAGTTATATATAGTGATACATAAACACCCAGGATGTCAGTATACAACGTAGCTATATATAGTGACACATGCACACCAAGAATGTCAGTAGACAACGTAGCTATACAATGTGACACATGTACACCCAGGATGTCAGTATACAACGTAGCAATATATAGTGACACATGTACACAGAGGATGTCAGTATACAACGTAGCTATATATAGTGATACATGTACACCCAGGTTGTTAGTATACAACGTAGCTATACTTAGTGACACATGTACACCCAGGATGTCAGTATACAACGTAGCTATACATAGTGACACATAAATACCAAGGATGTCAGTATACAACGTAGCTATATATAGTGATACATGTACACCCAGGATGTCAGTATACAACGTAGCTATATATAGTGACACATGTACACGCAGGATGTCAGTATACAACGTAGCTATATAAAGTGACACAATATCAACAGTTACAATATCCAACTATGGAAACTATTGATGCACTTATTCAAAAAAAAAAATACAATAAATTGTTCATTTATAGACTTATCCCGCCGCACACTATGCATTTCTCCTTGTATCGATCTGCGTGTGGAAACGCGCTATGACAAAGTTTCCAGCTTTAAAAGAACCCATTACACCCGACCACATCCTAGCATCACCATGGTCACCACTAAACAAATGGACCAAGCAAATGATGTAAATAATCGAGTCAGGACAAGACAACCCAGTGATTGACATCATGAGCATCGATATACGCAATTGGGATACGATGACATGAATCAACCAAGTCAAGGAGCCTGACCACCCGATCCCGTTAGTCGCCTCTTAGGACAAGCATGAGTGGTGAAGACCATTTCTACCCCGGAATATTCACGGGGAGTAGTGAATGGTTCACTGAAAGTCAAAGGGGACACAAGACGTTCGCGCAAAGTGTAAGCATGTCCTGCTCTACCGGTATCACACCCGCCACTCGTACAGCCTGCATAAACAAGTAAGTGTTTGTTTGTTGCCTACCACAACACAGCAGTACTACTACCATACGACAGTGGCCTGAAAACAACCAAGTCTTAACCATACGATCCTTTGATAGTTGGACAGACAGCTCAGTGATAGTGTTGAAACTGAAAATGAGATGTTTATTTTGAATTACATCTGCTTCTTGAAAAACATAATTTTGCTTCACTCCGTTGATGAAAAGAAATTGTCTGCCACAAAAGTCACAGCTTGAAAATAGTACGACTCCATAAAAGACACTCCCCACATTTCTCCCCCGAAAATCCAAAGTTTGGTCCCTTACAAGTAAAGAGGAACACTTAAATGCTGTGTTAATATGTTGTTGAGCATGATTATTAAATGCTTTTTTGCTTATGATGTTACTCGGGAACTAATTTTTCATAATGTACAATATACAATCCATCAGCTAAAAAATTATTTTCTGGTTATGTTTGTACGATGGGTTATCTCCTATACCCACTGGTATGAAGCCAGTTGGAGGCTTTGGGAAGGCCAACACTTGATGGTCGTTCTTCATTATTTGAAATGTGAAGCATTACTTCATTCGAGTATAGTGAATAGAGCATAATACTGTGCTAATTGGTCGCATGGTGAATGGATTGGATAACTGGTAGTGATTTTACCTGTAGATGAGCCAACTGAAGAAGAACTCAGGCAGAAGTAGAATTTCTAACAACTTTGTCTAAGCTCGTTCTAGAAATACTCACTGCCAGAATTCCTCAGTGGACGTATGTCCAAAAACACTTGGTATCTCTGTTGAGGTATCCTCGCCCTCGAATCTGTGAGTAACATGTTCCTGAGACATATTCGCGGAAATGAATATATAGTGACGCATGCACACCCAGGATGTTATTTTACAACGTAGCTATATATAGTGACACATGCACTCCCAGGATGGGAGTTCACAACGTACCTATATATAGTGACACATGCACACCCAAGATGTCAGTATACAACGTGGCTATATATAGTGACACATGTATACACATGATGTCAGTATGCAACGTCGCTATATATCGTGGTATATGGACACCCAGGATGTCAGTATACATCGTAGATATAAATAGTGATACATGTACACCCAGGATGTCATTATACACTGTAGTTATAAATAGTGGCAAATGTACACCCAGGATGTCAGTATACAACGTAGCTATATATTGTGCTACATGTGCACGGCCCGGTTGTCAACACAGAACATTATGTTGCAGACAATGTGTAAAATCAGTCAGCGTGTCAATGGACAATGAATAGATTTGTCACTTAATTTGTAAAATGACTATTTAGAAATTGCCTAAATGAATCAGATTTAACACATTGAGTGCAACATGTATATTGGTACGTATTCACATTGCGTGTAAGTGTAGATCATAGCAGGTTGCGCATGCGCCTGAATATCATGTCGCTGAAAAGAATGCTACGTCACAATCGCGTTAATTATGAGATGATGTTGTGCAAAAATAATGTAATGTGACCTTGAAGCAACCCGGAATGGGTAAATGTGAGTGAATCATAAACATTATGGAGCGTTTTCCTTAAAATCAAGTGTCCTAAATGTAAACAAATGTGAAGGCGAATATACACAAGTATTGTCACTGCTGACTGACCCAGCGTCCAGTCAATCAACAAACAATGGGCAGCCCGAGCAGGGTCATTGAAGCACTGACCAGTTCACACAGCAAGGAAGATGGCGTACGATATCGGAAGTGTGGAGGATACACGCATTGACATTTTCAAAGCAATACACAGACGGCTTGGACAACGTGATAGATTTTATTTTGAAAATGAACTGTTTGAACCATACACTGATGATAAAGAAAACGGAACGAAGAGAGGAAGAGTAGACAAGAATAGTCGACGTGATCCCCCAAAATGGACGTCCACCAAAACGTGTTCACAGAGAGCATTCCAGGAAGTCGGTGATTGAGAAATGTGCGTCTGGTGTATATTGCCTATATGACTTTTTTACACACACAACTCCCTCCCACATACTGGAAAAAAACAAGCACTCAGCAATTGCAAGCTCGACCCCCGCCCGACCCACATGGAGACAGTTCAATGGACAAACAACGAGGTAAAGATTTTTCTACCCTTATCTATACCACGTCCAATTTTCATTCTTTAAAAATCTGTTGTTCAGAAACTCAAAGCATTGTGGCCGGTTTTACACAGTTGATCGTGTTGTTTCCACGGAAACATCCTAAGGTATGAAAAGTGCAGCAATATGCTGTCGAAAAACCACGTGGTGACCAATTTTCCTTTGCGCAAGACTGATATTTTTGCAGTCAAGACATATAACTCACCCGATGTCTAATATAATTCAATGATTAGCGTCATGAAAACATTTGTCCCATGAACCAGCGCGTGTTCCTTCACTCAAAAATCATTTCTTTGTTTTGAAGAAACACAACCGTGTAAATTCAAATATCACCAAACGTAAGTTATGCTTTTATTAAATATAATATAATAGACACTGTGATTTCACCAAAAAATACATGTTGTAAAACAACCGGGTGATAAAACCTGCGCACTTGTCAACACCTACCGTTGGATATTTATGATCAGTCAGATGTGGTGATTGGTAAAAACAATGAGGGTAGGGGTGGGATACTTGTGCTAGGAGGGTCACCTCACCTGTTAGTGATAGCTTGGTGTGTCACTTAACCAGTGTAACAGGACAGGCTTTGGGCACATTTAGACCCCTAATATATTCATGACTTTGCGTTGTGATTCTTTTATCAAGGCGATATTGATGCCAAAAATACTAAAGAATATGTCTACGGTCCCTCCGCCTGTCCTTTACGACCTCAGTTCGTTGGATGTAGGGAGGTGATTCACGACAAAATATAATCAAGTGTCAACAGTTTATTACAGAAAATATAAAAAAACACACACAAAAAAAAACTGTAACAAAATATAAATACGAACTCGACAACAATTACAAATCAGTCAATCCTATTCCTAACTAAAATTTACATTATTAAGCCAAAAATCCTACTTACTTATACCTTAAGAAGCAGCCTAAAGCAGACGAACAAACCCCTAACTTACCCACTTTAATAAATAATCACTACAGCATCCTTAACACAGTCTACGAGGGCAAACAAACCACCCTTCCAAGCCTACTGACACAATCGGTCAATGTAGCTACATCACATAGCTTACATTATTTCCTAATTAAATCCACCCGTCCAACCCAGCTTTATAACAGTTTACCCATGAATTCTAAAGTTGCCACATAATTTGGATCTTTATTGCCGAAAATCACTAGGGATTGGGGAATTGTTCGACCTC